TTATACTTTTCTGTAGCCCTTTACATGTACATTTTAGCACTGTAAAGCACTTGTTGTTAGATGTGGTTTTTTAGAAGTTATTGGCAAAATTCTCAACGATTTTTGCTTGAGAGCGTGAGACCATTAAATCGCAGTGATTCTTGAATACAGGAACATATTCTTGAATACATGAACATATTCTTGAATACAGGAACATATTCTTGAATATAGGAACATATTCTTGAATACAGGAACATATTCTTGAATACAGGAACATATTCTTGAATACACGAACATATTTTTGTGATTTAGCTTTTCTTCAAGTTAACGTGAAGAATTCAGGGAATTTAAAAACCACATCCTGTGACATATATAGGGAAGTGCCAAAAAGATAGTTATTCAACAAATAATGTTTAAATTTCTTAAATGTATTTTAACTGGAATATTAAATCTAAACATAGTTTTTACTGTTAATATTTTTGTTGCAATAAAAAAAAAGAAATATAATAAACAATAAGATAGATTGGATAAGAAAAATCAAAGATGTCATGTATATCTATTTCCTGAAAAAAAGTTGAAAGATAAATACAGTATTAAAGTATATCCGGTTGAATTCAAAAATATATTTGTTGTGTTTAAATACAAAAATATATTTGTTGTATTTAAATACAAACAAACTAAACAATATGAAACTAAGGACCAGGGTGTAACATTGTTTTGAAAATTACTAAGTTAGTAATTCAAACTTAAAGACTAGAAAACCTTTCCAGATAACTATCCGATGTTAATTTTGATGCTAATAAGTAATGTAAATATTTTAGATTTTAAATCCGTCCTGCGAATGTAAAAGTAAAAGGGTCGAAATAAAACTATTATTACTTAGAATTCGCTCTTTCTTTTTTAATTAAAAATATCGATTCAAAAGAAGGCTTCCAGACAGGGTGCTCCCCTTCTCTTAAGAGTTTTAGGCTTTAAATGTTACTTTATAGTGACTTTTTTTTGAACATTTTAAAACAGAAAAAACAAAGATTTTCTTGAATTTTCAATTTTCTTAAATTCTAAAATCTCTCCTCTGTATGTACGTATGTAAATGAGGAAACCAAATAATATAAATACTAAATTCATTTAACACCCTGCACTTATATTTATTTCAATCAAACGTTTTAACCCTTTACCAATTTTATTATTATTTCTAATCATTAATGAAGACTTTCGTTGATTTTGGTACAATTATCCTGATTTTTGTACAATTATCCTGATTTTGGTACAATTATCCTGATTTCCAGACTCCAATCATTGGTACACTCTTCCTGCCTCGTTTATACATATGTCCTTCCTTACATACAAACTTACAAAATGTATACATACAAACGAACACAAATACTAACATATACAATACATGTATAGTATTTGATCCAGTAACCTAGATTACCAGCAATAAATCTATATACGGGTTAATCATTACTAAACTAAAATCAGAAAATATGAATGCTTCGCACCACTTTTATCCTGTTTAAACTTTGCATCTGATTGTCTCTTGAAGAAATAGCTGTATAATAAATTATTAATGAATCTAATTTTATGCCTAAATTGTAAGTTTTGTTCAATTTTTTCTTCTAATACAGTGGTGGGCGATTATATCAATACAATGAAGACGACTTTTAATTTAAGTTTCAAATAGTAACAAGCTTTTTTCGAATTCAAACTTTACAAGAAAAGAAGCTTTTTTAATTAATAGCTTCTCTTGAATTCTATTTGTACACTGCAAAAAGTGCATATTGATTTCAGCCGTGCAATTAACATGATGTGCAATCTATCGCATTTTTTGTGAGAAACTGCTCACACTCTTTTGTTCTACGCGTCCTGTGAGCCTAGGGTAACATGATCTTAACTCGGACTATAATCATGTGAGTTATTTCGCACAGGTACAAAAGAGTGTGAGCAGTTTCTCACAAAAAATGCGATAGATTGCACATCATGTTAATTGCACGGCTGAAATCAATATGCACTTTTTGCAGTGTACTGTATATACATGTGTCTATCAGACACTAAAATTAACTTGTTTTTTCGTGAATATCATCTTTCTAACATTTTTAAAATCATTTTTAAAACTCGCGTTAGCCCATTTAGTGAAACTTTTATTTTTTCGAATTGAAAGAGGAGAAAAACAAAAGTGTGTTAATAAAATAATTGCTATTTTACTATATAAGCCCTAACATGACATACAAGCAGACACCCATAGATATATATATAGATATAGATATATATACATCTTGAGTTATACCACACTGTTTGTTCCTGATAAATTCAAGTCTACAGAAAACTGATGGATTCCCAATGCCTGGAGCAAAAAACTTCTATCTATCTATCTATCTATCTATCTTTCTATCTTTCTATCTATCTATCTATCTATCTATCTATCTATCTATCTATCTATCTATCTATCTATCTATCTATATATGTCTAACTATCTATCTGTCTATCTATATATCTATCTATCTATCTATCTATCTATCTATCTATCTATCTATCTATCAATCTATCTATCTATCTAACTATCTATCTATCTATCTATCTATCTATATATGTCTAACTATCTATCTGTCTTTCTATCAATCTATCTATTTATGTACCATCCACCTATCTATCAGTCTGTCTGTCAATTTTTCTGCCTGTGCGTTTGTTTATCCGAATACTTTTTATGGAAAAGCATCTAACAAAGCGAATTTTTTAAATAGATATTAACGCATGTTCTTCATTTATTTTTCATTTTCTTTCCTATTCTCAATCTCTGAAGAAAGGTTTAAATAACAAAGAAGAAAAAGCATTTTATCCGAAATTTTTCTAACTATTGAATCCATCCGTAATTCATAGCAATCAATACTTTTTGTAGACCTTGATTTAGAAAGGATTTTAATCTTTGTAACAAACTCTGATTTTCTAATACCTATATTTTTTCAACCTGATGGTGTAAACCTTTGATATTTCAAACTTAGATTTTTTCATCTAACAGAATTCATAGTTTGAAATATCTAAGGTCTTGATTCAGTAATTTTCAAGCTATAAATCGACAGTTTCTAGCTTTAATTGTAAAAGTTTATTTGGTAAAATCATAAAATATGTTTGTATTAGATCGAATGTGTCTGTGCGTTATATTGTATGCACGCGAGTTTTGAAGGAAAATGTATTTTTTAATCCCAAAAGCTAACAATGGACATTTTTACGAAATAGTTGCCATTATTATTACTTTTATTTGTGTATTCAGTAATTACATGTTGTATAAGGTGCCCTCTATCAATGAAAAAATTCTAAATAAGCCTTTCTCAGGTTTCAGAGATTTTTAAATCGAAAAAAGAGAAATAACAGCGAATTTACCTTTTTCAACTTTTATTACTTTCGAATTGATATTATTGATATTAAAATTGTTTCTAGAAAGGAATTGAGTCATTGCCACAAACTCTGATTTTCTCCTCCCTATATCTTTGGAAGCCAATTTCGTAGACATTAGATATTAGATACAAACAACGTATGCTACTAGCTTGGGAACCAATTGTTGCCCGGGATACTCATAGTTACTCCCCCCGTTTACCCGCACTTGGTTGTAAATAACGATTTTAGCTATTTTTCCTGATTATTAAAGTCGACCCACTCAACTTAGAATCTCAAAACCAAACATATGAACATCCCTGTAACTTTCCCGAGTTCCCCAATCAAAATGTGAGGCTAATCGGTCCAGGTGTTCCTGAGTTATGATCTGACAAACAAACAGAGATATATATCCTTATTCACGCTTTATTTATTTTGGTAAAAATATTGTATAATCTGGAGGTTCGGTCCTGGCGTGCTAACTTTCATAAAATTTTAGTTAGTATTTTTGGGGGAAATTTGTTGTACATTTTTGTATTTACTTTTCATTCGATAAATCTAGTTTAACAAAAATATAACACAGGAAGTGCTAAATATGATTGTAAATATCTAAACGGGTTGAAGTTTTGCAGATTGCAGCATAGTTTTTGTTGATATTTGACCTCAAGTATAAATTGATAAAAAACATTATTTTAATCTCTCACTCTTTGTATTTAGGCGATATCTGTATATGTATATAAAGTTGTAATCTCTAATTGTTTGTTTGTCTGATCATAACTCAGGGACCCCTGGACAGATTTGCCTCAAATTTTGATTTGGGGAACTTGGTAGGACCACGGGAATGTTCTTATCTTGAGATTCTAAGTTGAATGGGGTGGCTTTTATCGGGAAAAACAGTTATAACCGTAATTTACGGCGAAGCGCGGGTAAACGGTGGGACTAACTATGACTTATACCCTGGATATACAGAGGCAAAGATGGGTTCCCAAGCTAGGATATATTATTTTACTGAAATCTCTGTGATCTGAGGCAGTAAAGTTGATGGTTTTAAATTAAAAGAGTGAAAAATAAAGAATGACTTAGTTTCAATCAATGACGATGCTTAAGGTTGTCATTGCAAATGCAGGCCCTGTAACTATACAACTAATTTGTCATTGCATTTAGTATCTTTCATTTCCTATTTGTGATAATATAACTTTAAACATCTTTGAGCTTTTAAAACATAATTAATATTTATGTATGTTTGAAACCAGATCGACAGGGTTTCTGATGTGTGTATGTCTGTTACGTCTGTTTGTCTGTGTCTGAATTATGATAATTTGTGGTGCAAGCAGATAGCATGCCTATACGGTCCTATGTTCTATAGAACTTGTTTCACTGCCTTCTATCCATCCATCTATCTAACTATCTTTCTTCTGTCTTCTACATTACGATGCGCTGCGCTGACGGGCCGCCGTTAAGATCTAAAATTAGAGACTTCGGTCGCGGTTTCAGATATGTCAACATTTAAGTATTAAATATGTAATTTTTAAAAAATATTTCTTTCATATTTTATTAAAGTTTTGTTTACACATGTCTGAAGAACATATGTTATGTTACGAGAATATCGCGGGTTGATTGAACCGAAGGACTCTATCCGCGTAGCGGGGCTCTGTGCCCTTACATGTAACCTTGTAGTCATAAAGTGATCGTAGCCCGTGCACGATCAAAAATGCGCTAACATAACTTTTTGGCATTTACAGGATCACAGTTATGTGGTTCCATTTTGTCTAGAAACAGCAACATTTTAAAGAAAAACTGAAAATATAACTATCCCAGTTAATCTGAGAGGGATTAGTGAAAAGTGTGAAATTCTAAAGTTATTTTGAGTGATCGCTAAAAGTTCAACAATGCCTAAGATATTTCTGCTGCGTCATGCGCTCGCTGAGCAATCCTTGACGATCGAAGGAACAGAGAAATCTCGGGATCAAATCGAGGTAAATATGGATGATGTTCTTGTATTGAATGATACAGGTATTGGTCAGGGGATGGTTTAGCTAGGCATATATTATAGGCATGGAGGCAGGTAGACCATGGGTGCAGACTGCAGGGGTAGGGATTACAAGGGGTGGTGATTCATGAGTCCGGGGATGGGGATTCATGAGTCCGGGGATGGGGATTCATGAGTCCGGGTGGGGATTCATGGGTCCGTGGATGGGGATTCATGAGTCCGGGGATGGGGATTCATGAGTCCGGGGATGGGGATTAATGAGTCCGGGGATGGGGATTTATTGCACAAGGGAAAGGAAAATCTTAAAGTTTATAAATCAAGATTGCAGAATTCCTTACTTACCATAACGCATAAATTATCAATATTTCTGTCTTAAAGTTTTAAATTTGGAAATATCATTTAAAAAAATGAAAGCTAAATAGTGGAAGAGTGGAGGAGGGTTATTCAAGGAAATGGATATAGGTAATTATGCAGGGGAGGGGGAATACATTTGAAAATAGGAAATAAGGTATATATTAGCAACTTTAAAAAAAGCTACAACCTAAAGCTATGGTAAAGATAATTTTATAGAAAAAGTACTAAAAACTAAAATCTTTAGTTTGAAGATTGCATAATTGCATTTTACTGGTTTTTATATTAGGGGAAATGGAATAAAATTGAAGCAGAACAATAGATTCTGTATAATTTAAACATGTCTATAAAAGCAACATCAGTTTTTTTTATTACATCACAGATAATTAGTGATAAATCTAATGAATAATGTATAAAAAATCTTAATTTATGTAATTTAATGATATATCTTTACAGATTTTTTATATATTTTGATTTCTAACTTTAATAATTTTTCTGGAATTAAAACTTTCATGGGCTGCCTAAAAACAAGCAATTTTCGAAAAAAGCTTTATCGAAGAAACATAAAATAAAATAAAAACATAAAATTTTATTTTTCGAAATTTTATTTATTGTTCAAATATATTTTCAGGTTCTGGATGGGTTAGAAGAAAGGTTTATGGTAACCTCTCCGTCACAGGATTTTAAACCAGCCTGTTACCCCTTCTCCTCCTTCTCTACCTCCTTCCCTGGGCAGGGGGGGGAGGACGGACCTCCTAAACTAACCCCTGATATAAAGGAGGCTAGCAAGGATGGGCCTCTAGAGCTAGTTACTAGAAAACCTGGTAAGTTTAAAGGATTTATTTTTCAAATTTCAGACTAAAATATTATTGTCAGAAAAACCACTTACAAATCTATTTATTTGCTTAAATTCTATATTTTTATTTATATATGTTTTCATCTATTTATCTATCTATCTTGCTATCTATCTATCTATCTATCTATCTATCTATATATCTATCCAGCGTGAAGCTGGAGATATGGTTGCTGCTTCTAAAAATGATCTCTCATTAAACAGTATTAAAGAAATAAATATAATCTGCAGAATCTTCTGCAGAATTTACAAATACAATTAATTTAATCCTACTTTTGAGGATTTTTGGGGCTTCAAATAGAATTCTTGGCAAGCTAAACTCTTTTGTTTGCAAAACCACATTTGGAAATAGATAAATCAGGATATTTTTAATGATTATTTTTGTGACTTAGAATAACGTCAAATTTTGTACTGCAAGTCTCTGTGCAGTACATAAATACAAAGCTAATACGGCATAGATTGTGTACAGCTTATTGTACTGTACTGTACTGTACATGTAAACTCAAATTTGTTACTTTTTTTTCTTCTAGAATCTACTTAAATATGCAATATTGTTAAAGGGGGGGNTCCTTGCTTATATGCCCTTTAAACTTCATTATTCCTTGCTTATATGCCCTTTAAACTCATTATTCTTTACTTATATGCTCTTTAAACTCATTATTTCTCGCTTATATGCCCTTTACATTCATTATTCATCACTTTAAACTTATTTTTCCTCTTTAAACTTATTATTCCTCACTTTTATGCCCTTTAAACTTCACAATTCCTTACTCATATGCCCTTTAAACTTCACTACTCCATGCTTACTTGCCCTTTAAACTTTATTATCTCTTGCTTACTTACCCTTTAAACTTCATTATTCATTGCTTACTTACCCTTTAAACTTCATTATTTTTTGCTTACTTACCCGTTACACCCTGGACTAACCAGAGTTAGCAGCATTCGGTTTCTTCTATTTGAAATCAAACGTGTTTTGGTCTATAATTCAACAATCTTTTACTTTACGGATTTGTTTATTCTATACATTTACATTCAAAATGCATATGCCGACAAAAAAGTATAGGCGGAAAAATGCTTACAAATTATGTTTAATAGGTCCAAATTATGATCGAAAGTCACAGCTTTCTGGAAAATTGACATTACCGTTAAATCCACGTGGTTAAACTATTGCTTACTTGCCCTTTAAACTTCATTACTCTATGCTTACTTGCCCTTAACAATTCTTGCTTACTTACCCTTTAAACTTTATTATTCCTTGCTTACTTACCCTTTAAACTTTATTATTCCTTGCTTACTTACCCTTTAAACTTTATTATTCCTTGCTTACTTACCCTTTAAACTTTATTATTCTTGCTTACTTACCCTTTAAACTTTATTATTCCTTGCTTACTTACCCTTTAAACTTTATTATTCCTTGCTTACTTACTTCATTATTCCATGCTTGCTTACCCTTTAAACTTCCTCGTTCCTCGTGTGCTATCCCTTTAAACCCCGGTATTCTTGGCGTATGTTCCCTTTAACTATATTTACTTTCTTTCTTGACTTCCTTGTATCTTAACTATATTTTAAAAGTACATTTACCTAATTAAGTTTATTCTAGAGATACGAAAAGATAGATTTTTAAAGAAATATTTTATATTTTCTGTTTGTCTAGCTTGTTCCATTTTGTATCTAATGAGTCTAAGTGACCATATGACGTTTTTTCAAATGAAACATCATGGTGTTGCTCTGTAAAACGGCGGAAGGGGGGGGGTATCTGCCTACAGGGAAATACAAGGGGAAGGGGGAGGTGGGGGTGATTGAAATAATAGGCTTTATTAATGTTTAAAAATGTTCCAGAACAGATTAGTATTTATAGTAGTGTTCAGTTTCATAACCTTCGGTTTTGAAGGATAGACTATAAAAAGGTTAAAACTGTGGATTGATAGATAGATAGATACTCAAGGATATGTAACAATAATTAAAACAATTATTTCTATTATTTAAAACAAGTGTTTTGTTTTTAAATCTAGGTCATTTCACAGGGATCATCTCTCCCTTCATGTAATCCTTTGTCTATACAAAAATACAATATATATCATTTTTATATTTATATCTGTTTCAATAAATAAAACATTACATATTTAAAAATAAATATTTGTATAATATGTTCATATTTTTAGAACTTATTACAATAAAATTTGAACCAAATTGTAAAAATGATAATGAAAATGTTATTAATTTCAAAAAATACTATTAAATTATGACTATGATAAAGAAAATAATAATAATAATGATAATAATAGTAATAATAATAATAATAATAATAATAATAATAATAATCATAATAATAANAATAACAATAACAATAACAATAACAATAACAATAACAATAACAATAACAATAACAATAACAATAACAATAACAATAACAATAACAATAACAATAACAATAACAATAACAATAACAATAACAATAACAATAACAATAACAATAACAATAACAATAACAATAACAATAACAATAACAATAACAATAACAATAACAATAACAATAACAATAACAATAACAATAACAATAACAATAACAATAACAATAACAATAACAATAACAATAACAATAACAATAACAATAACAATAACAATAACAATAACAATAACAATAACAATAACAATAACAATAACAATAACAATAACAATAACAATAACAATAACAATAACAATAACAATAACAATAACAATAACAATAACAATAACAATAACAATAACAATAACAATAACAATAACAATAACAATAACAATAACAATAACAATAACAATAACAATAACAATAACAATAACAATAACAATAACAATAACAATAACAATAACAATAACAATAACAATAACAATAACAATAACAATAACAATAACAATAACAATAACAATAACAATAACAATAACAATAACAATAACAATAACAATAACAATAACAATAACAATAACAATAACAATAACAATAACAATAACAATAACAATAACAATAACAATAACAATAACAATAACAATAACAATAACAATAACAATAACAATAACAATAACAATAACAATAACAATAACAATAACAATAACAATAACAATAACAATAACAATAACAATAACAATAACAATAACAATAACAATAATAATAATAATAATAATACTTGTTTTTTTATTTCTAGTTAAAGCCTAAAGCTATATACTATTTGTGGATAATTAAATGATTTTTAGATGAATTATCTTGAAAAATGACAAAATATACAATATATCTTCATACTATAATTAAGACCTATCGTATATTTAAAAGTTCAAGGATGGGAATTAGATGCTAATTATACTAAATACATGCAGCTACCTCGTATATATATAATTCAAGGTTTTTATCCCCCTCTACTACTTTATATTCTCAAAATTACTAAACGATTTTAATGTTCACGATGAACTTGTAGATATTTTAAAAGATTTTGATCATATCCATGAGGTTTTAGTCATCTGTCCATGTTGTCCATCTGTATCTGTCTGTCTGTCTATCTGTTGATCTGTCTTTGGTCTGCTTTCAACCGCGTCTTTCCCTTTCTTGTCCCGCAAGCTGACTGTTGCGTAGCGGGCAAATCCATTCTTCATCCTGTCTGAACCAGACGATCTGCCCGCTTTACTGGCGCACCTACAGTTATCCCACACCAACCATCGTAAAGAGGAAGAAAAAAATATTTGAATTTTTATAATTATTTCTGGATAAAGCTTTAACATCAATATTCCCTATTATTTCCCCCCTTTCAACTTCTAATGGTCACTTTAAAAAAATGGTCTGATTTTTTATAGATTCTCCCGAAGAGGCCTCTTTCTAGGCCTGCTTTCTTATTGCCAAACATTAAGGGAAATATAAAGCTTAAAATTTTTGGAAATCAAGACTTTTTCAAATTACAAAAACTGGTTTTTTATTTGATTTTTATCATCGATTTTAATTAGGTAATAAATAGCCCTGCTTACGTTGCACATGGTTGCCCAAAGAGGGGGAGGGGAGGGGGGCTAAGCCAGAACGGNTAACCGTTCTTTTCAATCTTGACATTGGTCGTAATTTCAGGTTCAATATGAAGGTCCAGCTAGGTCCGTTCTCTTTATCTCTTTTACGGAATTTTAGATTCATTTTGTAAATAAATAAGCGGCCAGTTTAAACTTTAAAACTAATCACCCTCCCCCCTACCTACTCCCTACCTCCCCCCTACCTACTCCCTACCTACCCCTCTTCCAAATCGATGTATGTATTTACAGCTACATGTATAGTATGCACTATCATGTTTCTGAAATTTGGCCTTGTTTTCAAATTATTAAGTCATCACATGGCTTCAGACCTATGACCGGCCTTGAAGGCCCCAAGGTCGATATTTTAAACATGAACTACAAGGACGGTTCAAAAATCCTATTTACTATGCTAAAAGTAATTATAGTTTTAAACGAAAAAAGCATTTTTATAGGAAATAAGTAAAAGTAAAAAAAAATGTTTAATATGTAATAGAATTAAATTGTTTGACTTAATTTCTTGTTAAAAATGCAATTTTTTCATGTTTATATGTTTGTTGGGATATTTCATAAAAAGACATTTCATAAAAAGGACATTTAAAGATAAAGAGGTATCATTTCGTAGGATGGACATTTCATAGAAAGAATAGACAAAATATTTTTTTTTTATGTCGTAAACAACAGTGTATAAGAAATATAATCTTGAAAAAATGAAATAATTTAGATACATTATCTATAACAGTTTTTATTTGTCTTAAAAACATCTATGAAATGTTCTGTCTAAAAAATGTGCATCTAAGAAATATTTAAACACTGTTTAAAGTTTTTACCTTTAAACCATATAAACGAATGAGCATGAACCGACAATCTTTCCCTTTAAAATATTCTCGTCTGCTTTACCCAGAAAACTATTCTCCTTCAAGAGAACTTCAGGTGAAGAAGGAATTCCTTGAAAATTATGCAACGAATTATGCTGTATGCACCCTTCCGTTATAAATACGCTAGGATTCTATCTATCTATCTATCCATCTAAACAGTTACACATGCAGCAGTTAGGGAAGGAGTTGTTCCAACTCGGAAGCACAGTATTTTAACCTTGAAATATCATATGTGCGCCCTCTCTACGCGCGCACTCTCCACCAACCTGTTTCCGAGTACGAGCGCGTGAGTATATACGCGCGGTATGACCTTGTACGGGTTCTGGTTTTGTGAGCACAATAATTTGACGATTCATTTATCTATCTATCTTATATCTCATGCAACTTTATAATCTATACTGCTCTCCAGTCTCAATATCATAACTGTAAAACACGAAGAAAATCTAAATAAAAGAAAATGTGCGTAACATTTTGGTTTGCCCTTTTTCACAATGTGTTATTTAACTTGATTTATCTTGGCCCTTTGTTACATTTCTTTGTCCCAGTCCCGTGGCCGATCTCTCCTATATAGTTTTGGCCTTCAGAAAGAACTTGACAACGTACTTTAAATCAAACCATATAACTGTTGGTTTCAAAGCCCACAGAACAAAAAAATCCCGATCTTCTCTCAAAATATTATAAATTTTGAATTTCTTTCATACTTTTACAACTTTTTTTTACAACCCAAACCACCTCCCAGTTTTCGCGGGTTTTCCAGCCTTAATTTAACTTAAAATATTCTTTTTTCTACCTTAAAATTACTTAAAATGTTATCCAAAATTGAAAACGACAGTTATATAATATTTTCTATTTTCCATAGAACAGTACTAGGCCAATGCCTTTAGGCAACTTCAAGTTAAGTCATGGAGTACTAGGGGCACATCCCTTCTAGTCATTTGCCCGCTATAAGTCCCCTGAATTATTTTGCTGTATTTATAAACACATTTGAATACGGATTTTTAAATTCGGAAAGCATATTAGGACTCTTGCAAAACATATAACATAAATATCAAAATGTTCATACAGAATTGATATTTACCAATAAATTGTTGTTAATTATAAATAAAACGGATCGAAAAAATATACCTTCTTTTTTTGTACACAAATAGATTTACGCATATAGAGATAGATTTACAAATACACAGATAGATTTACACATACACAGATAGATTTACAAATACACAGATAGATTTACACATTCACAGATAGATTTACAAATACACAGATAGATTTACAATACACAGATAGATTTACAAATATACAGATAGATTTACAAATATACAGATAGATTTACACATACTCAGATAGATTTTCAATACACAAATAGATTTACACATACACAAATAGGTTTACAAATACACAGATAGATTTACAAATAGACAGATAGATTTACAAATACACAGATAGATTTACAAACATAGAGATAGTTTAATAAACATACACAGATAGATTTACACATATGCAGATAGTTTTATACACATACAAAGATAGATTTACAAATACACAGACTGATTTTACAAAAACACAGACAGATTTACAAATATACAGATATAATAATACAATTACACAGATATCTTTACACATACATGAGATAGATTTAAACAAATACACAGATAGATTTACGAACACACAGATAAACTGTAACAGTTTGATTGTGTACTAACTACTAACTGATAGATAGATAATCTAAGAGATGTTTAGACAATGCTGAAACGTCCTTGTATAAATGATCACGTGATTTATTAGCTCCCAGCTCACACAGTTAATCTAAAGGGGCTAAATTATGTCTAAATTATTCAAATTATAAATAATTTAATAAATATTATTCTATATTTATTAGATATTAAGAAAACATATAAATCTAGCAAATATAAAGTAGTAATAATATTATAAAGTTAAACCAATTTGGAAAATTATAAAATTTTTAAAAATGAACTTTTTTTCAGAGCTCGAGTTAGAAGTCGAAGATGAACCTATGGAGGAAAGCACTGAGGTTCGAAGTCAAGAATCAGTTCGAGTCCAAGATACTGGGTTTCGAACACTGGCTGCCAGAAAGGCATATGACGAACCCCTTGATATTTCAATCCAGAGAAAACAAAGAGAGGAAGACATTCAGGATTTTCAAAGGTAAATAATTCCAGAGAATTATGAAATGTTCTTTAAACAAAATTATTTTTAAAATTTTTTTTCCAAAGTTAAAACTATTTTTTGTTCAGGTTTAATACCGAGCCAGGACCTATATATTTTCCTGATGAAAACGATTCCCCTGTAAACCTTGTGGTTTCACGGCGTCCACAGTGGGATGAATCCCTTAAACTATCCACCCATCCTCCTCCCCTTCCTCCTCCTAAACATCATAATCCAGTTCCTCTTCCCGCCCCCTCCCTTGGGCCCCCGGTAGTTACGCCCTCCTGGGAGAAGGTTCAAGATAAACCTGTTGATTTCTCCAAAAAGAAGCCGAATGATAATCCACCAAAAGATGTTCGAAGACAGGTCCCGCGGGAATCCATTTTCCATCGAAACCTTTTAGTTCTTGTCCTTCGTAAGATTAACGAGGATCCAACCAATGGTAGAAATATCGTGAAGATGTTAAAGGTAGCGTGCACGCACGTTAAAACCAATGGTTGCTCAGGGAGGAGTGGCTCCCCCCACCAAGCAGGGCAGGGAGCGGGTTTCAACTCCGGGGGTGGAGCAAACTTCTCCGGATATTCCAGCAGTGGGGGCGGGAGCCCTCACAGCATCCGAAGCAGTAGCACTGAGAACGATGACACCTTGTTTGATCCAACCATAGAATTCTCCAGAATTGATTTTAATCTGCCCGCCACCCGCCGTTGGTTGAACGATAATCCCGAGTTTAACCCGCTCAAGATACTGGATCATATCTCACTAAAGAACGGATTTGGGGATCAAATCCCTTCTGAGATCCCTAAACCTCCTCCCGATCTTCCAAGCATAGACCGTGAGGTTTCCAGTATCCTTCAGCTAGCCGTCCCTGTCCCCGACCCCTCGGCCACCTTCATGGATATCGGGACCGACTTCGGACCGATGAGCATGTATGAGGATGATCCGTTTAATCTTGAACAAGTGAATCCCTCCAACTTTGTGATGTCTGAACCTCAGTATGACGGGAACAGGAACTCAAGGGTTCAACAGCAACAGCAACAGCAACAGCAGCAGATTCAGCAGCAGCAACATCTACTTCAGCAGCAACAACAACAGCTGCAGCCGGAGTTCTTCCAAAACTACGGGTTGGAGAATATGATGAACCTAGAGAAGGATTACTTGATGCCTCAGATCAAAACAGAACCCGTCAGCTTCATTAAAGAAGAGAATCCAGGGCCCCTGGTTATGGATAATATGAGCCCTGACACCTCCCCCTTGTATCAGAATCTAGTACGGAATCCCAACAGACGCCCCCTTGGAACTGATCAATGGTGGTCATGGAATTAAGAACCCGATGGTCTCTGATGGGCCTGAGCGTCCTGTGGAGAAGGTTGCTCCCGTGCGCTCAGAATCTGATCCTAACAAGCTTTCCTGTAGAATCTGCGGAAAAGGATTTGGACTGCAGAGGTTGTTAAACAGACACATGAAGTGTCACAGTGATACCAAGCGATACCTTTGCACTTTCTGTGGAAAGGGGTTTAATGACACTTTTGATTTGAAGAGACACACGAGAACACATACAGGTAGGGTTATAAGACTGCTTGTTTACTGTGTTCTAGAATCTACATGTTTGTTTTAAGATATACAAATTTCTTGATGTTATTGGCTTTAAGCTCAAGCAAACGCAAGCCTAATTCATCATATGCATTTATGCACCATGATGGTTATTATATACAATTATACAAGCATATTCAACAGTCACTGTCCGGGAGAGATCGAGGTGAGTCCACATCTGGGCTTGTATAGTGAACATGCATTGCAGCGTGCGCCATGGTTGCGTGTTGGTCTTATTATAAAACGCTCATCTAAGCGCTTAAGAATATCTTATCTAATGATGCTGAATATGCTCACGCAAATAAATTGGGAATTTCATTTTTATAGATCTTGAAGAAAAAATATAATAAAAAAATTAAATGTAATGTTTTGTGAAAATTTAAAGGGTTGTGTTTTTTTTTTGTTCACACGTCTGGTTGTTTGTTTACAAATATATTGTTGACATATTTGTTGTCTGTTTTGAAATCTTTTATTTGTTTATAAAAAGATTGCTCGATTACGGTTGTTCTTTCACTAATTATTTTATTTGTTTAGGAGTGCGACCGTACAAGTGTAATCTCTGCGAAAAGAGTTTCACTCAACGGTGTAGCTTGGAGTCCCACTGCCTCAAAGTTCACGGCGTTGCCCACCAATATGAATACAAGCAAAGACGATCTAAGGTGAAAAAATATTTTATTTTACGGATTTCTTATTTTGAATTGCGCAATTAATTTGTTCTGAACCTGTTTTATAATTCTGAAATTTACAGTTTAAACATAAAAAACAGGTTTCATCTTTTCTTTTGTTTTTTTTTGAAAAATTCCATTAAATGTCTACTTAAATAGCTGAAAATAAAGGTTAAAAGAATGACATTTCTTGATTCTAGTTGATAGCATTTAATTTTGCAACTTGTAATAATACATGCATTGGTGGAAAGGACCATTGGTTTGTTACTGGCAGAGACAGTGAACCAACCCAACATTTTTTAGCGTCAATAGACTTTAAACTTATTTAATGCGCAGTACGGAAATAAATTGCAAACAAAAGCTTGATTTTGATCCAAACTTGCATTGTCCAGTTACGAGACAATGAAAATTGGGGTAACCAATATTTCATGGTTTTTGATTATTTTCCTTCTGCGCATTTGTAAACATTAAAGTTTTGATGAACTGCTTGTTTGAACTTCTAGTTGAAGCATGAAAAAATACATTATCTTCCGTTTGATTGAAATATGTACGTAATTTATGTTTGTTGTTGTACAGGTGTACGTGTGCGAGGATTGCGGACACACCACGAAGGAGCCAGAAGTTCATTATGTACACTTGAAGGAGCAACATCCATTCTCTCCTGCTCTCATGAAATTCTACGACAAGCGCCATTTCAAATTCTCAAATACAAACTTTGCAAACATGCTCCTCACCTGCAACTAGACGCGGCATTAACACGTAACAAAACGGGAAGTTCTGTACTGGCGCCATTTTGAAAATGTTTTCAACGATTTTATGGCAAACTGTAGTACAGACATTCAAACAGAATAGATATCTAGCTGTTCATCAAATGGGACTTTGTACTCAAATGATGGTACATAATTTGTAAATAAAGTTCAATTATTAAAGTTTGCACAGTACATAGTTGGAATAGTTCTGGGCCTATAGTAATACCTCACTTCGATATTATGTACATCATGATTATCTATATATCAACATATTATCTAATATCTATGTATTTTTATGTATAACTATTCATTTAAAACTGAAAATGTAAAAAATTGTTAAAAATTAAAACGTTTTCTCCAGCTTTCATTTGATAATTAGTTTGCCAACCTTGTTTTTAAATTCATTTCTACATATTTATATTAAACTTTTTTTTTAAAATATGCCAGAATTTCATCGTAAATAAGCTCCTGTGATAAACGGTAAATCATGCAAATTAAAAAAAAAACAGTTTGGACATATTTTTTATCACGAAAACATTTTTTGTATGTTTTATGCTATTCTGTGATAAAAGAGCATTTTAAAATATTTTAAAGTGTTCTTTTTTATACACTTACTAATAAATTTAAACAAGTAGTGCAATTTTCAGAATATTCAAAATTTCATAACTTTTATATTTTTATAAATATAATTTATAATAGTATATTCTAATTCAGCCAAAATTTTATTTTTAGTTTTATGTTAAGCATTAATTAAGACTTATGCAGAAACTTTTGGCATTTATTTTTCCTCACATTATTATCATACTTGCACATAAAATAACTTTAATTATTTCTAATTCTAAAAAACCATCTTTTTATTGTAATTCGATTGTTAAGACTGTTATTATCCAAATACATTTACGTTAGAAAATATTAGTTTTATTTGTTTTCTGAGAACCAGATGGAGTCTGATAAAACACTTCTGAAGTCAAGTTTTCTGAAATAATCTTCTCATCTTACACCTATAGTATCGGGGAATACTTTTTCATCTGATACACAAACACGATATTTTAATGGTTTTGATCTTTAGTAGCTGAGTAAATTTGTTTCTAAAGGAGTTTTTGCCACAAACTCCTATTGTCTAATCTCTACATCTTTGCAACCTTATGGTGCTAAGCTGACCTTTGATATTCCAAACTTGGATTATTTCATCTAACAGAATTCATAATTTAATGTATCAAAGGTTTGGTTGCTTTTATAGAGATGAGGAAATCAGAGTTTGTAGCATTCGACTCAGTTCCTTTAAAATGCTAATAGAATTAAGATTTTTCGATTTTACGAAGGATTTATCTCTAATTGGATAATGAGATAGATAGAAAGATAGATGTTACCGCCATGCTAATCTATTGATTCAGAATAGACAACAAACACATGGCTGAACCCTGATTGGATCAGGCGCTAATGGACTCGGCATACTCGAGTGGAAAATAACGATTTTGTTCTGTTTAACTTCATTCCCCAACTATGGACATTTCATATGACAAAACCTAATGCAGAAGACCTAATTTCATTTCAATTTCTCATTTTTGCCCATATTTTTAAGTTAATTGGAGGTTATTTTTTGAGTGAAAGTATTAAAAGGGGTCCATACAGTGATCTTACAGTTTGGTCTTTGTTCCAGCAAGCTGTCACTTTCGATCCCAAATTGACCCATTATACAAAGATGTTTTCTCTTTAATGCTTTCAGATGGCGAATGCGTTTAAAAAACCTAAAAATAGGCAGTTCTGTAAGTTAAAAGAATTTCCAGAAATCGAAACATTGACTATTTAATTTTCTTTTATTATAGTATAAAATAATAACAGGCTAATTATAAATTGTGATTCAGGGGGGGGGGCGTAGCCACCAGAGGATATTTGATCATATCAAGCAGAGGATATATGATCATCAACCAGGGATATTTGATAATTTACACCAGAGTATGTCTGATCATTTCCACCAGAGGATATCTGATCATTTCCACCTGAGGATATCTGATCATATCAACCAGAGGATATCTGATCATTTCATCCAGAGGATATCTGATCATTATCACCAGAGGATATCTGATCATTTACACCAGAGGATATCTGATCATTTACACCAGAGGATATCTGATCATTTACACCAGAGGATATCTGATCATTTACACCAGAGGATATCTGATCATTTACACCAGAGGATATCTGATCATTTACACCAGAGGATATCTGATCATTTACACCAGAGGATATCTGATCATTTACACCAGAGGATATCTGATCATTTACACCAGAGGATATCTGATCATTTACACCAGAGGATATCTGATCATATCAACCAGAGGACATCTGATCATTTACACCAGAGGATAACTGATCATTTACACCAGAGGATATGTGATCATTTACACCAGAGGATAACTGATAATTTACACCAGAGGATATCTGATCATTTTAACCAGAGGATATCTGATCATTTACACCAGAGGATATCTGATCATATCAACCAGAGGATAACTGATCATTTACACCAGAGGATATGTGATCATTTCCACCTGAGGATAACTGATCATTTACACCAGAGGATATCTGATCATTTACACCAGAGGATAACTGATAATTTACACCAGAGGATATCTACACATTTACACCAAAGGATATCTGATCATTTACACCAAATGATATCTACACATATACACCAAAGGATATCTGATCATTTCCACCAGAGGAGATCTGATAATATCAACCAGAGGATATCTGATCATTTACACCAGAGGATATCTGATCATTCAACCAGAGGATATCTGATTAATTACACCAAAGTATGTCTGATCATTTCCACCAGAGGATATCTGATCATTATCACCAGAGGATATCTGATCAATTAGACCTGAGAATAATTGATCAATTGCACAAGAGGATATCTTATCAATCTGATTGAAAAATATTCGATCAATTGTATCAAAAGATATAATTAACTAACTCAAAAATATAATCTTCTAAATAAAATAAGTTTTTGTAAAACACTAACCATAAACCAGTGCTTCCCCTAAAATATACTTTATCTGGACTGGGAACAACATTTTTATTTCAACAGTAAATTTCTTTACAGTCTAGAATAGAAAATGTTTGAATATTAAAGACCACCAAATTATCGTAGAAATGTTGTCAATCTGTTCTATGTCATGATGACAAAACCTTTTAGAGCTGTATTTAATTAATCAAAATTATTGTTTATTAAAAAATATTTTGCAGAAAGTTCTGAATAGCTCGTCATACTTTTCTAATTATATAACTGTAAAGTATTGTTTGTTCCAACAAATATGATAATTAACATGAAAAGAATTTTCTAATAGTTCTAAATATAAATATTTTCCATAAAAAAGTTAATATTTAGATCATTTACCAAAATAACAATTCAGAGTTTAGTAAAAGGGCTTGAATTCAACAGTGTTAAAGGGACTGTAAGCGTAAATTTAAAAGACCTTCCATTTATAGAGAAGCAATGAGCATCTCCAGTTCACAAGGGTACCCTTCAAACCTTTGACTGATGAATGTCTGACATATCATATATTAATCTACTCAAACGCCTTTAATTGCTATATACTTAGTTTACTGATATTAAGAAATATCAGTTAGCTATGTTTAAGTGGCAGCAAATAAAAATTTACTCTTAAATGTTTGAAAACCACTTTCAACGACCTGATCAAAGTAAAACAGTCGATAGTTGCGTACGGAACAGATCTACCGCGTTGAGGTTACTCTGTTCACACCGTAAAGGCCGCGATTTAAAAAAAAACAAGCGGGTTCCGATTCCGACATGCTTACAGAGATCTTTCTACTCGACAAAATCAAAGGTTTAAAGGGTACCGTTTCCAACGCAATTGGATTTTAATAAGATAAACATTTTTCATAAACAGTTTGAACCCATAAATTCGGTGTGCTCCGCGACCGGACAGTTTCTAGAATATGATACAAATCTTAATTTATATGGATATGCTGTAGATGAAAAAATTATTTTTGAAAATTTTTTTGAAGATATCACTAAAACGATTTAACAACAATGAACAACACATGGATTAATAGATTTACTTAAATTCCTTTAGTTTGACTTTAAGATTATCAAGATTTACTGCTGCTAGAGTTTTTAATCGTTTTTGTAAACGATCGTTTTTTGTTTCGTTTTCAAAAACGATCGTTTCGTTTTCTGAAAAAACGATGGTTTTTAAAAACGACCCACTCGTTTTGAACTTTTAGATAACGAATAGCGATCGTTTTTTAAAACGATCGTTTTTATTAAAACGATTTGCGACCGTTTTTTTATACGATTGTTTAAAAAAAAATTGTAGACTATTATGTTAACGATCGTTAACGAAGAGTTGTCGTTAACGATCGTTAACGAAACGACGAACTTTATCAAAACGGTCGTTTTTGGGAAAAAAATACATGCAACTTTATTGAATGTCGTCTTACATGAAGTTTAACAGTTGTGGGGGAGTTAAAACTCCTTGATATTTTCTTGAAAACTACTCAATGATAAGTACAGATGCCCTTTAGGTCGGTTTCCTCTCTTCGTTAATGATCGTTAACGAAGGGGTCGTCGTTAACGATTGTTAACGAAGGGTTGTCGTTAACGATCGTTAACGAAGGGTCGTCGTTAATGATCGTTAACGAAACGACGAATTTTATAAAAACGATGGTTTTGAAAAACGATTGTTTTAAAAACAAGCGTTTTGAAAAACGATCGTTTTAAAAACGACCATTTTTGAAAAACGAACTTTTTTAAAAAAAACGATCGTTTTTAAAAACGATCGTTTCGTTTTCGATTTTTCGTCGTCGTTTTCATAACAAAACGATCGTTTTTCTGAAAAATGAAAACGTTAACATCCCTCTGCTGCATGCACCCTTCTCTCGTGGATCCTTGATATTTACATCTTAAACATTAAACAGGAAATATTGACTTTTTATCCATATCATATCTAATAATATCTATAATGACTGAAATGTTTCTTTCGTTAATGTTAGATTTGAAACCAAAAAACCATATAAGCTGAATCTCAGGAGACGAACTTTCAGCATATCCTTATTTCTTATATGAGTCCTTTTTTTATTAAAATATTACAAATCACGATGTTTGCAGTTAATAATAAAATGCAAACTAATGTAATAACGAGGTCACAAAAAAGTAATAGTAACTCTGATTCTTCCTAACGTTTACAATGATAAAAAATGATGCAGAGAGCTTGGGTGTAAAATGAATGATCTGCCTGGAGTTGGTTAAACCGAGACCTGAACCAGGAAGAACTTGACTCATGCAGTTTAGGCCTGTCTACAGAGCTAGGCCTGCCTGCCTGCATACACCAACATTCAAACCTTCGAAGCCATGCCAAATGTAGAAGGGGGTTAAAGGAGATATAAAAGGGGGATGGGTAAAGGTAAAAAATGTTTATTTTGTAATTATTTCATCACAGTTTTAAAATTGTTTTCTTTTTCAGTATGCATTTTAAAGTTTCAGAATATTAGTTGGATTTACAATATCTACAAAATCCCCCCCCCCCCCCGCCTTCGTAATCCTACGATATTATGCCTAAAGAACACTTCCTGGATTATTTCAACATACAGTTCAAATATTCAATGATAGATAGATATATATCTCGTTTAAAGATAGATAGATAGTTTTACACTAATATAAATAACTGTACTTAGCCACAGAATGTTTTAAAACTGAAAAAAGAGTAAATATACCCTTTCATAGGCATGATTTTAAAATAATTAGTTTCTGTAAAAATGAAAAATATTGTACAATTTAAATTTTTATAAAAACTTTAGCTGTATTTACCTGAAATATTTCAGTTTTCACCCATGAGTTTATGAGTTTAAGTATACTATAAGATGATAATCAATTTAATAGGCGCGCATTTAACTGCAAATTAACCTTTTTTGTTGATATCCAAACCGATGGAGTAGACATTTTTTGTAGTTTACGGCCGGTATTTAACAATATTGTCTCAAAATAATTACATGTATTTTTTTAGATTTCCGTGAAACAGAGATATCTTCGAATTTCGTTTTTTTTATATGTATTACGAAGAAACTAGTGGTATATGTATTACGAAGAAGCTAGTGGTAAATGTATTACGAAGAAACTAGTGGTATATGTATTACGAAGAAACTAGTGGTATATGTATTACGAAGAAACTAGTGGTAAATGTATTACGAAGAAACTAGTGGTAAATGCTTTGAATTTATAATATGTAACCGCGTGAATTTGCTTTTCTTATACTTGTGCGTAAAATTAAAACTAGAGATGCTACGAGGTCACAAAGGTGTTTCAGTAGTTTCGCATAAATTTTACCTTATCCTTCAGGGTAATAGTTTGCAGTGTAATATTCTAAATAAGAAAATATTAATAAAACTGCTAAATATCCTGCCAACCTGTATTTGCCGTAAGCTTGAAATATCCAATATTCTAAAGAAGAAAATATTAATAAAACTGATAAATATCCTGCCACCCAGTATTTGCCGTAAGCTTGAAATATCCAATATTCTAAAGAAGAAAATATTAATAAAAACTGCTAAATATCCTGACACCCTATATTTGCCGTAAGCTTGAACTATCCAATATTCTAAAGAAGAAAATATTAATAAAACTGCTAAATATCCTGCCACTGTATTTGCCGTAAGCTTGAAATATTCAATATTCTAAATAAGAAAATATTAAGAAAATATTAATAAAACTGCTAAATATCCTGCCACCCAGTATTTGCTGTAAGCTTGAAATATCCAATATTCTAAATAAGAAAATATTAATAAAACTGCTAAATATCCTGTCACCCAGTATTTGCTGTAAGCTTGAAATATCCAATATTCTAAAGAAGAAAATATTAATAAAACTGATAAATATCCTGCCACCCTGTATTTGCCGTAAGCTTGAAAATCCAATATTCTAAAGAAGAAAATATTAATAAAACTCTTTATCTACAACATAAATATATATATTTTTAATTTATAAATATACGACATTAAACATTTTTACCACAATATTATTGAAATATTAGAATAGACTTCATGATCATAGAGAACATTCTTAAGAACATTTTAGACAAATATTTATACATTAACATCTTTTATTCATAACTCTCACTATTTATATTCATATTTATATTTATAGCGCTTTGTCGGTCATTTCAATTTACAAAAAAACACATCTTTTTGCAATTGAGGAAGAATCAACGAATAATTTTGAAAATAGATGTTAAAAAAATGTCTAGCCAGATATTAATATAATTACAGTAATGGATGAAGAATTAATAAATAAAACTCACATCATTTGTTGTTTTTAAAGTAATGTCTACAGAAATTGTTTAGAACAAATATACAAAAAAAGTCAAGTTTTAAAATTTCATTCACTTGAAGATCTCATTTAGATATTTTATTGGTAATTTAAATATATAATTCTCTAATATACTTTTTACTTTGTTAAATATTAGATAAGTTTTATACTTTCAAAATAGATTATCAAGTAAAAAGTTATTTATAAAAGATATTTTGACGAGTTCTGCAATGTAGGAAGGATCAATATATTATTGCGATTAAACATTCAAATATTTTTATGAACTATTTTTAATGCAGACTCATTGTGGAATACACAATATGAAAAATCCGAACACATTTTTATTAAACAAACAAAGCAGACAACATTTTAGAAAACCCCAGATTGCTTAAATATCTGTTATTACTAAAAATACTAATGCAGATTCAAGGACGATTTTATAGAAGTGAGTCAGTTACCATGTTTATTAATTAAAAGACATGATGAGAGGAATAAAAATATTTTAAAATGGTTGAAAACTTATGCACTAAATTGGTCGAACATATTATTTTGTTTGGTCCAAACTAAACCATTTTAATTTAGTGCGTACAAATTTTTTTTAATTGGCCCAAGCTAAATATTTTATATTTGGCTCAAAATAAAATGTTTAGATTCGGTCAAAAAAAATAATTAATGTCTAAATAACTAAAATATTTTGAAATGATTCCACAAAACTTTAATCATGATTTAATCCACTAATCAAAATGTGTATTTCAAACAATTTTCAGGATGCATACTAATTAGATAGAACATTTTATTGAATGTGGGCAAGATGGCTTTAAACTATAATTAGAGAATTTAGTAGGTTATACATCGTAGATACAGTTCACAACACTACAGTCATAGGTATAATTCATATTTTTTTAGCAGTTTTCTATATTTACCTTTATTGTTCAGGCATTAGAAAGACGACATTCGGTTAAAATATAATAATAATTCCCTTGGTCTCTTTGTATGATGAAATACAATATACAATTCATATTACATATATCTAAATAAATATCTATTCATATTCCATAATCTACTCTAAAGCATGTCGGGTTACAGATAGACAGATGGACTCCAGGTCGCTGTCTATCTTGGTTTCTCCATTATCCGCGGAAACCGGTTTTAAACCAGTTTCCTTTGGCGCGGGTGGGCTGCTGCTAGTTTGGACTGGTAAAGGTACGGGACCTGCCCGCTCACAGCGTGTATTCTGTATGGTTTGGCTTGGCGCCATATTGTGACTAAACATTTGAGGCATTCTGTTGTCTGGACTAGAAATAACCAGTTTAAACTGACCGGAAGGCTTAGAGGTCTCAGGTTCCCGTGTATCCTCAGGAACCCCAGCAAGGCGGACTCCATCATGACGACCACGTGAAAGCTCATCTTTGATTGGACTTTCGTTATGCAGGGGCATTCCTTTTCTACTTTCTTTAGATTCATAAATATTGTTGACGCACGATTGATCACTAGAAGACTGTTTTAATGGATTCTTTTTCTGCTCCTTAAAATATTAAAGGAATTGAGTTTTTGCCACAAAATCAAATCTTCTGATCCCAATATCTTTGCAATCTGATGGTGCAAACCTTTGATATTTCAAATTTGGATTATTTTATCTATAAGTATTAATAGTTTGAAATATCTAAGGTCTACGACATTGGGTTACAAAGATATAGAGATTAAAAAATCAGAGTTTGTGGCAAAAACTCAATTCCTTTGATTATTAGGATGATATTGGTACACTAATACATTTTCAACATTTTCAGGATGAGTAAAATGATCGAATTCGAAAAAGAGAGATAAAATTAAATCTTAAATTCAAAATATTTGTAAAAAATCATGTTCAGCATAGAAATTATTTCTTTATTTCTCAGGGTAATTTCTAACCTGTAGAAGCAGATCCTGAATATAAGCTTGGGCTCCTTGATCCAAGCACATCCTATTCAATCCTCCCGGGTCTGCTCTTCCTACGGAACTTCTAGAGGTTGGATCTTGTCTATGACAGGGTCCATCACCAAACTCTCCTGGCTTAGAGAAATCTTTACTGCTAGATATATCCACAATGTTACTACAGGACTCGATATCTCTACTCTTGGCTTGGTCAAGCAAACGAGGTTCAATTCTCTGAATGCCTCCGATACCAGAAGAATATCCGGGTTCCATTAATCTAGCTCCGTGCTCAAGCAATATTCTCCCACTGTCCTGAACAGGTCTATAACCAAGAGAAGGATCATTAGCAGAAATCCAGAAACTTTGAGGAAGATCTTGAACTGTTCTCAAACCATAGGGAAGGGAACTTTTTGCAGGTTTAGAACCTACTGAAGCAGTTTGAATTGGAGAGAATCCTGAAATTAACTCCTGAGAAGATTGGAAATTAGGATCTTGAACTGGCTGTATCCGTGTATGAGCAGGAGGGACAGGAAACCAGCCAGGATCCGAGGGAATATGATATCCAGGGAGTCTAACAAAATCTAGCGGTACTCCAGGTAGAAACCTTGACACAGGATCTAACCCATCCCAACCCATCCCAACCTGGGTCTTATCACCAGGAAGAATGTAACCACCACCGTCTCCTACAAAACCTTTAACAAAATATTTTTAAATTGTGTTCTTCCATTACACATATCATATTCAATACCTGGAGACATTAGTGAGGCCCTTAGGACTTGGTCTCTTTGTGGCATAGTAGGAAGTATGGTAGTATTGGAAGGAACCAATGTTTCTCGACCGGTGCCTAATTCAGCTTTACACAGTTTTATAGAATTAAACGTTTAATAAAATTTTTTTATTCTTTCTTTTTCCAAATAACGGTTGTTTACAGTGAGTGCAATGTTATTTTGTTTTTTACTTTTAATATTAATGTGTAACTAATTTTTTATCCACTTGAGAGCAATTTAGTTATCAATTTCACCTCTCTTAGATATTGATTTAATCTTAGAAAAACTATAGAGAAGAAACATTTTTATAATAAATGTAAATGGCTGCATCTCAACTTCTATGCAGGTTTATTAAAATATGTAATCTAAGAACCTCTACAAGATAATCGTAATTAAAATTTCTGAAAAGAAACTTTAATAAATATTTCTGAACAGACCCAGACAAAGAGTAGGTAGACCCCGCATTTGACTTTATTCCACATTTTAACCGCTTACAATGATGATGGTAATAATTTTGAAAAATGGGAAAAACTTGAAGCACGTTTTCTCTTTCAGCATTTCTACGTCGCAGTGTTCCTTCCAGCTTTAAATTGTTAGGTCAAATCCCGCAATTTAAAAGCTCTAGCTACCCGATCTGAATACAGTTTGTATCACGTAATCGGACTCTACCAGCTCTTAGACTCGACTTAAGGAGTTAGACAGCTTACTGTTAGTAGAACATCGATAATTGAATGATATAAAAATGTAATCTACAGGGTGTCCCAAAAAACATGGGAATTCAGTGACGAATTGGATATCGTCTGTGTTATGAATTAGCATTGTAATACCTAATTTAAAAAGCCATAATATTATTATGTCTGCTAGAGTTTATTTTATGAAAAGGGTAAATAGCTGTAAAGATGTGTCTATAATGTCTCCGCAAGATGAACGATGGAGACGGTCAAGTTTACTCTGTTTGTATACTGCAATTTTCTTGTTTTACTAAGTACAACCGTATGCAGTCAAAACATAAACAAACAAAATGTGAACATAGCAGACGAAAATCTTACATAGTACAGCTTTCTCAGTAGGTATCACTATACTAAATCAAAGAATTATCTAAAAAGACGATATCGAATTCGTCACTGAATTCCCATGTTTATTGGGACACCCTGTATACCTTGAGATACTCCGCGACAAGATACAGTTGTGAAGAATTGACTTCGAGTCTGTAAACTTAATCTTCGGCCTGAAAACAGTTATTATCTTTTATTTTATGAGGTGTTCCCCCATTTAAAGCTTTTTTCCTGTTTTTCAATTATATATATATATTGCATAACATCTCTCTTTCATTTTCATAGTTTCTCCACATTGCATTTCACCTTGCTTCACTTTCAAAGGAATCGAGTTTTTGCCATGAACTTAGTTTTTTTTAGTCCTTATATCTGTGTATTGTGCAACAAGTTTTGTAGCCTTTATATACAGGGTTACCAACGGTCTCATCCTTTTTGGGTAACCTTGTATATACTATATCAAAATCTTGATTATTCCATAAAAAATAGTCAACACGTTGCAAAGATATTGTGAAAAGAAAATTTTAGTTTGTGAAAAACACTTCTTTAAATCCTTCTTAAATTTCTACGCAGTCCTCATTTTGTTGCTGTTGACCCAGCCAGCCAGCCATGTAACCCTGTACCTAAGGTTTGTGATGGTTGAAATGAAGGTCGTCTTGAGTACTGAAGTGAGCTCCGCCTTAAAGGGACAGGGTGCCAAATACTTCTACAAATCAAATAATATACAATTTTTCTATATTTCGACAAAAGATAAAGAACATTTTAAAAGACGTTTAGTCATTGAAATCAGGAATTAACAAAAAAAAATATTTAGAACATCTTGTATTTAAAAGCAATAAAATTTTGTTGACCTGATCTTGAGCTTCCAGGATAGGAGAAGCTGTTTTTGAAGCTGAGTAAAGATTTCAGAGTTCATGCACATATCAAGCAGCGATACAAACTTTGTTACTAGATAGACAGATAGATAAATAGATGGATAAATACATTAATAGGCAGATATATAAATAGATGGATAAATACATTAATAGGCAGATAGATAGATACATAATTAAATAGATATATGTAAATAACTAGATAGATTGATAGATAGATAGACACTAAACAGGTGGATGAATAAAAAGTCAGATAGAGAGATAAATTGATTAGTTAATGAGAAGTTAAGATGGATAGAAAAAAAAATGTTACAAAATAAAGACTTATTGACTATTCATTAATACAGGAGAAATTAGTTCCAAAACTGACACTAAATCTGCAAAGATATCTTTTTCAAGTGTATTTATGTTTAAATACAAGCCGAGTTGAACAAAACTACACCCTAACATTTATTATAAAATGGCTAAAACCAAGGTACTAATGCAAGGAAATTTATTTCAGAGGTGTACGCATTTTTGTACTGCAAGACGGATGTCGAAGCCTGACATGGAATTCATTTTCACAAAAATAATCTATGAAATATTCTGGTCTTAGGAAACTTGTGAATTTTCAAAATTTTCAAAATTCAATGCTTTTATTTTCCTCGGATAGCAGACAAACACTGATGCATCTATTCTTGTTAACAAATTCCGCCCGAGAATTGGTTTCAATATGTATGCAGAGTATACGCGACCGCAATTAACTTTCCTTGCATGTACCTTGGCTAAAACTATTTATTGAAACAATAAATGTGAACTTTTAACTAATGATAAGGTAGGAGAATTAGTTTTGATGATACTTGTTTTTATTTTAGAACATATTTCTATTTTGAAACAAATACCGCATTTCAGCTCATGTCGCGTTTTCGGAACATATCCTGGTTTTGAGACAATTACTCGAATTCATATCAACGTAAATTTTCAAGCATTTACGCACTTAAGTAACAAAACAGATTTTTTGATAAGGAAAATTTAAATTTAATGTTCTTTTAATAATTAAAAAAATATTACGGCATTGAAAAATCAAAATATTATTATCATTTTGTACTTATAGTATAGATTTAATGCAGGAAATTAAATAAACTTTATTCTCTTATTTAACAAATAAAATGTGGAAACTTAGATTCTAGAGTTAATTTAGCAGTTAGTTTAGTCTTCATAAGATAACTTTTACTTTCAGCGATTCATTTAGTAAGTTATTGAAGTAAGGTTTGTTTCGAATTGTGGATTATACTCAAAAACGGGGAAGTGGGGTTTGTCTCGAAAACGCGACAATGATTCAAATTCAGGATATGTTCGAAAATGGAAAACCTGAAAGGATTTTAATATAAAAAGTACTCCTTTTATAATTTTGATTTAAGAAAATAATTTAAAATTGAGAATTGTTGTCCTTGCCATGCTTAATAAAATGTTAATTATTGTCTTTACTATCGACTTTTACTCTTAATATGGGCCGGGATCCTAGAAACCCAGTCTTTCATTTTGTGCCCATTTCTAACACTCAGTGTTAGAAATGGGCTAAGTGTTAGTTTTGGAACTAATGTCCCCTGTAATAGAGAATGTTATGTCCGATTCACAACAGTTTCATCTTTAAACCTTTGTCTGTCAGAAAAATATTTAAAAGGTATCGTTGTAAATCGGTCATGCCCCTCTGTTCAATAAAGGGAAACTAAAACTACAACGATAGTCCTGTATGTAGATACAAATATATATTTAGAACAATAGAGAAACTAGATTTAGTTTTAGTATTAACCCTTACCGTTGCCAGAATCCGTGCAGGGGGAGAGAAGAAGATTTGTGCATACTCGTCTAAATAAATAAATAAATAATTAATTAATCAATTAAAAAAATAAATAAAAAAATATGAAAAAATTATCTGTCAATATGGTCAATCTGTGATAGAAAAAATAACAACAAGCTCATCAGTCAAACTTTTCATGGCAGCTCATTATCAAACAAGCAAAAAAATAGTTTTTGATTGATCGGGTTTGCGTACATGACAAACTCACTGTGTACAGTTTTAAGGGATGTGCATTGTACACTCAGTACAGTACAATTATCCACAAGATACCCGATAAATGATAGATAAATTACCATGGTAAATAAATTTTTATCTCTAATTTTAAAAATAATTACCTAAGAGTGAGGCAGAATAGATCTGCCAATTCATTGGATTCTCCTTTATTCTTGCCTTCCTTTTCCTTTCCCAGAGTTTCAGAGTCAAGTTCTTCTTGAGATTTTCTCCTTTCATCATCTTCTTTATAGTCTTCTCTCTTTTCCACTCCTTCCGCTGCTCCTAGTTCTTCCTCCTTCTTTAGTCCTGAATATTAAATATTTTATCGATACAAGTATTTTTCTTCAAATAAAGCAAAAAAAACTCTATTTTCATAATTCCTATATCTTTGTAAAATGATAATGAAATTTCAAGCTTAGATTATTTCAAGGTAAGGTATAGGCCAAAAGAGAATTTTTACTCAGAACACACCAAATTCTTTGATTCACAATGAACTCAGTTTCGGGGACTGTACGATTGTATAGTGGATGTTTGTCAACAAAAGCATCCGAAACTGGACTTGAACTCTTTGAACCGAAACATGAAATTGAACCTAGTATTTCAAGATAGGGAATAAACGGACAAATAAACAGACAAGGGAAATATATGTTAATAGATTTGCGTTAAAAAAAAAGAATAGAGCCCCCCCCCACAACTGCACTTTCTCTCAGCCTAATTAGATTGTTTGTATACAGACTGCTAAATCAGTTTTTAGCCACCGAAACCGAGTTCATTGTGTATTCCAGATTGTTTTTGTGCAGAAAATAAATTCTCTAATGGCCCACCCTTAGATTATTTGGTCCAACAGAATTAATAGTTTTAAGTGTAAAAGATCTAAGATTGTATAGATATAGGGTTTAGAAAATTGAAAATTTCCTTTCCTATATTCTTTAGAGGTACTCTGCAAGTTAATATAAGAATTTTACAAAATTTACAAATCTGCTCAAAGGAATCGAACACACGACACATACTCGTTTACCTTTAATATTAAAACAATAAATTCAAATAGTTCCACACAGGTTTTTACAACAGGTTTTTTTTGGTAGTTTTTCTTTTATATTTTGGCCTTTTTTTCGTCATACAGGCCATGTAGTATACGGATGTTTTAGCGGATCCGGATCCATGACTTCTGATTAGGTTATAATCTATACGTATCCAGGGGATCAAGTATCATGGTTACAGGGGCGTACGAGGGCTTTTGTTTAGGGGGGGCACAATATGCCCCCTTGGCAACAGTATACCCCCCTTAAAAACCCCTTTTTTGAAAAAATATTGATACCTTTTTTATTTTTTTTTGCCCCCCCTCCCACCTGGACTTGTTTTGTTCACCATAAAAATACAATAAATCAATAATCACAGCATCATTAAAAATTATATTTTTACTAATAAACGAAATTTCTTCTGAATTTCTTAGATAGAATTTACTCAATCTACATATTCACCAACTCTTTTAAGCTACAATTTTCTGGGATTTGCTTGCACAAACATTTCAATGATTGTTTCCGTAGAGAGGTCAGACAGCCTTTTAGGGTGTAAAGCTTTAAGTGCAAGATCGTTAAGTCTGCTCTCCTTCATAGTAAATAATAATAATAATGATGATGATAATAATGATAATAATAATAATAATAATTAAAATGATGATGACAAACAATGATGATGACAATGATGATGACGATGACAGTGACAATGACAATGACATTGACATAATGATAATGATAATGATAATAATGTTGTTGTCCCTAAGCTATTGTTTATATTCTGCAATGTATCTGTTCTCTCTCTAAGTTTCTGAATGGAACTCAGTATTTTACGTCGAGCACCCTGGGCAGTTTAAGTTCAAGTAGGTTGTCATATAAGCTGCATACAGCAAACATTGCCCAGTTAACATTTCATAATATTCCTTACAACATTGCCCAGTTAACATTTTATAATATTCCTTACAACATTGCCCAGTTAACATTTTATAATATTCCTTACAACATTGCCCAGTTAACACTTTATAATATTCCTTACAGTAAAAATCTTAAATATTTTCTATTTAAGCGAATGTAAGAATCTTAGGTTACTTAATAACTTCCATTTATAAATATCTAGATTTTATTCAAATAAATTTGTATTTGAGTTTATTTATAAATTCTTATCAATAATGTGAGATGACGAAGGTTATTTCAATTTGAATACCTTGATTACCTGTCGGTGGTACCTATATAGAAAGATGTAAGTTTCTATGTCCTTTATGTTTGTAATTTTGATATTTTAATTTGGAAATATCAATTCTACAGCACCATGGTTTGAAAAGATAAACTGGGTAAATTATCTGAATTAAACAAATTAAATGTTTAAATGAAAACAAAAGTTAGAATTCCAAAAAGTTAAAGTTTTTTTTCAGATATTTCTAGTTGGCAACTTAAATGAAGAAAAAAACGTGAAAACGTGAATGGTAAAATGATCTCACTATTCAGATATATCGGACGTCATCTAAACTTCGTATATTTTTCCCAATTAAACTCTTAGGTAAATATATTATCTTATAAAGATAATTGGATTGACGTAATTGGTCTAAGAAATTTCGTATTTTTTTGAAAGCTTCTAAATATACTGTTATTGTTTAGTTTAATTACACCAATCTATTAAAAAAATATATAAATGATAAAAATAATACTTAAAATTCAACGTCATCTAACTTTTGTGCGCATTTGCGCAACTATAAAACCAAAATGTAATTTTTAAAATGAAATAAATAACATTTTTTGTGATATTCTGAACTTTCGATCAAAATTATAAATGGATAAATATCTTTAAGTGAATATGTTACTGAATATATATTTACTGTGTATGAATTATATAGTTTATCGCGATCAGCAAATGTTTTACAAAATTCTAAAAAGAAATGTTTTCCAGCGTTTGGCGCCTTATCACTTTGTTAAAGAAATTTTGTCTTTGCCACAAACTAAGTTTTCTAATCCTTATATCTTTGCAGCCTGATTATATACACCTTTGATATTTCAAACTTAGATTATTTGATCTAACACAATTCATAATTTGAAATATTTAAAGTTTACTATAGAATTCATCTTTTGTCTGTCTGTTTGTTTGTATCCAATAAACGTCAAAACGGCTGAACCGATCGGGTCCAAATTTTTTGTGGGACATCACATCACAGGGAAGGTTTATGAATGATAAAAATTTTAAAAAAATGTGTTTAAAGGTTTTTAATTTTGTAAAATATTTAAATTCTTGAAAATCCGCGAATTTTTTTTAAAATCCATGAAATTTTTTTCTTCTTTGTTATAAAATGTAAACAAAAAGAACACGTTCACAATTTAAATAGAAGATGGGCGCAAAGCCCTCTAAAATCCTAGTATTTTATATTTTTACATTTTAATTTAAAAAAATCCAAAATAAATCTAAAAATTTTCTCTGGACAAATCATTTTTGAAAATCAATGATTGATAAAACTTGATTTTTGATTCTTTCAGAAGAATGTTTAAAAACTTATTAATAATTTTACATGATTACTTTCCTTTGTAATGTTTAGTTGCTCCAGTTCCGGTTCCGTTAACCTGGAATCAATGGAACCATTTTAATATTTAAAAATCTTATTTTTTAAAGGGACTGATTACATACTATAACAATAAAGGAATTGTTCATATATTTCAAAACATGAATATTTAAAAGAGAGTTTGTTCAAATATTAAGATTACAAAACAATAAGTGTACGATTACCACGTGATAGATGCTAAATGGGGTAAACTGGGACAGTAATTAAAAGAATTGAGTTTTTGCCACAAACTAAAATCTTCTGATTCCAATATCTTTGCAATCTTTTGATGCAAACCTTTGGTATTATTGAAATATCGAAGGTCTACAACATTGGGTTACAAAGATATAGAGATTAGAAAATCAGACTTTGTGGCAAAAACTCAACTCCTTTGAATTTGAAATATTTCTAAAATCAAACATATTGTCCATCTATTATAAACAGGTCTGTAGATATTGATGACAATGTTACTAAAAGATTACCTAAGAAGCTCCTCGTATGAAAGGTGCTGGAAATATTGACTGTATTTGTGTAACCTGGATTATATTGAAAACAAGTTGAAAAAAGAAAATCTTAATCATTAACAAGTCCTAAAAAATCTTAACTTACAATTTAGCAGAGTGGATTTAATCATTAATTATCTTTATTTAAAAAAATCTGTAAAGTTAAATTTTAGTTCTGGGAACTGTAGATGTAATTTCAAATAACCCTCCATTTTTGGAGTGGCATGTCCGATTTACAATGTTACCTTTAAAGCATTTTCATATCAAGGTTAAATGGGATATCAAGATTAAATGGTTTATCGAACAAAAAGACTTGACACAGTAATAATGAAGACATTGTGACAACTTAACAAATATTAATATTGAAAAACGACAAAATCTTCCAGCATAGTAATGATTAGTTTAAAAGGTACCATTGTAAATCAGATATGCCACTCTATAATTAAAGGGTCACTTGACATTACAACAAAATTTCCAATTTAAAAGAAACTATTTTCATTCCTAAGAGATTTCAGCCATTCAAGCATATTTTGTATTCGAGGAGAAACTGTATGATCTGCTGTACACACATCCTTTACATGACATGGTTGCCCACCACCAGAACATGGTTGCCCACTACCAGGACATGCTTGCCCACTACCAGAACATGCTTGCCCACTACCAGGACATGCTTGCCCACTAACAGGACATGCTTGCCCACTATCAGGGCATATATGATCACTACAAGGACAAATATCGGAATGACCGATTTCACAACCAGCCTGAACAGATAATAAAGTTAACGGGAAGTTAAAATAAGATTTACACTTACTTGTAAAACTTTTGAATAGGAAAATGACATTCAGTTAATGTTATATGCATTTTTTTTGTTAAAAGACAAATAGTTTTGTCAATTGGTTAAAAATCAATATTTTATTACGTGAAATTGGGGTGTAAACACTGCATAATTGCTGTTTTTCATGTTAATTGGAATATTTATATAAAGCTTGGGAACCCAGCGTTGCCCTAGTTGAGCTTAGTTACTCCCGCCGTAGTTTAGCCGCGCTTAGTCTTAACCACTCAACTAAGAGTCTCGAAACAAGCTAAAAACATTCCCATGGTTCTTCATAGTTCTCAATCAAATTTTGAGCAAATTGGTCCAAGGTTTCCTGAGTTATGATCGGACAAACAAACAGACAAACAGAGATTACAACTTTATATATTTACTAGCTTGGAAACCCAGCGTGACCCAGGGGATAGTTAGTCCCACCGTTTACCCGACCCGTGTCGTAAATTACGATTTTAGCTATTTTTCCCGTTAAAAGTAGGCCCACTCAACTTAGAATATCAAAACCAAGCTAAGAACATTCCCGTGGGTATCCCGAGATTGTAATTACCAAACCAAACTTTAGAAATTAATTTAATATATTTATTTTAATCATTATCTATCATTATTATTTTCATTACTATAACTGTTATTGATAATATCATGTTCAATACTAAAAGACAACCATTCACTCAGCAGAGATAACATGCAATGCACAATTTTTATTTATATGGCAAAATTACTTTGAACAAAAACATTTTTATGGCCATTTTAAAAATCATAAATTATATTAGTTTGCTTCAAAAAATTGGGAAAAAAAGTATGGGAATAATATTTTTGTAAATGAATTACTTTTGCCCCCTTGTCAAATCTATCTATTGAGAGACCTGTCAGTTATTCAGAATTATTCTATAAAATTATTCTAATTAATGGAGAAGAAGCAGTAAACAGAGCTGAAAACTTTAGAATGAGATATCCTTAATCCTGATTACTTAATCTGAGTAATGAGTATCCAATGGACACACTTTTGATTTTCTTTTTAAACCGTTCTTTCTTGAACATAGAGGAGAAAAATCAAAAAATAAGAAAAAGAGAGGATCAAGCATTGATCTCGATATCCACCATTCTAAAGTTTCCAGCTCTGGAATCTTTATATCAAATCATTTAATTTAATAAATAGTTATTGTTGGAGAGAGAGGCATGATACAAAAGCTCTTCTTTTCTTAGGATTTATGTCTGTACTATATTGTAAATATTCTCCGATTGGAATTCTAATTTTGGAAGTTTTGGAAGGAAGGTATAAAAGAAATGTAAAACAATGAGCAAGTTGACGCCTCCCCCCCCCCCACATGTAAAAGCTGTTGTTTAAACCTTTTTCTTCTTCTAGATATTTAATAAAGATTAAAAAGTCAAAGAAATTGTTATGTGTTTAACCAAGACAAAACAAGGTAACTTGAATTATTATATATATAAAAAAAATACTTTGATGGTTGGTTGGTTTTCTATTTGTTCAGGGATCTCACCATCTTTCCCTTCACAACCTAGATATAGCACAGTACAGTACAGTACAGTACAGTACAGTACAGTACAGTACAGTACAGTACAGTTTAATACAGTACAGTACATAAATAAAGAAAGAAATACTATTTTGGTGCTTTAATTGGAATAGATACCTGTTTCATGAATTCTTTTATGCTGTACATCTTTCAGGAAATCCTCTCCTCCTGCCCCCTCCTATACTCATAATATTATTCTTGACATTATTAAAAAAAAAATTCATTTAAAATATGCTCGATATATTTTTATTTCTAAACATTGCCAACCTTTACCTTAACGCAAAACGGCAAAGCAAATTTTCAAAAATTTTAATTCAATCATAAATATGATTTTCCTTTAGATTAGAATCACAGCCACGCCCTCCAACCTGCCCATCCTCCTGGTACAAACTGTCTCGCCTTAAAATATATTTATCGATTCCTCAGGTAGAAATCTTTTTTAGAAAAAGTGTGAGCCGACCCAGTATAGAAAGATAAAGAAAATAGAACAAGCCCTGAACGGAAACAATATATGTAATATCCCAATATATTAGGAGAACACAGGAGTTTGATCTACACTACTCTACAACGAAAACTTCAAATCTACAAACCAAGATTCAACGTCAGTGGCATCAAGATCCGCTTACGATCCTAAGAAGGAAAAATTAACTGCAAAATTACCGTTTGTAAAAAATCCTGATGATTTCCTGTTTAACAACTTTAACCGCGCCCNATAAATATGTTTAACTTATGTATGTTTTTTTTCAGTAATTCACCGCAACTGTTGCTGTATTTAAACCAAGTATAAATAAAGATATATGCGTTTCTACCAACGACGAGTATAATTAAGGCAGTGATTGTGTATGTAACTCTTTTATGCTCAAGAGTTAAATGTTTGTAAGTGATTTTCGGCCAGCGAGCACAATATATGTGGCCGGGACTTGAAATTTTATTTTTAGTCAGAGATAAGAGAGTTACAGAGATCGATTGAAACCTTTGATATGCGATATTTTCCACAGCATGTTCTATTGTGTACAAGTACTGTACACGACCAATCAGCAAACATCTGTATTCAGGGATATTTAAGGATCCTTTGGATACGAAACACAAAATCTTCAAAAATAGATTGAATTCATAAATGTTATGTTTCATGTTTAAAATTGGGGTATTTCTATAAAGTTGTAAAACTTAACCCCTGAATGGGTATTATGTTCAACAAGTGGCCGTGAGATGGCAGTCTAAAACCTATCGTAAAAACGTAGCATGTCGTGCCGGGTCAACTGTAGGTCTACGTAGCCCATACCTGTGAAAGGAGATAAGCAGTCTGTGAGTAGTCTGTGGTTTTAGTTTTCCTTCCTTCGAATATTCCCCCCCCCCAATTTTTTTAAATTCCAAGCAATCATGTACTAAAAATTTTCTAACTGAGAAAATCAAAATAATTTTTTCCACCCTCCAAAACTCTAAAACGAAAAAAATATTTTATTAATTCTTAACTTAGTCTTTAGCTATACTCAAATCCAAATAGATTCTAGTACTATAGATGGCAACATAGAATTTTTACACTCTCAGTACAGCTGTATTATTACGTCACAAACTTATATTTTTTTGTCTGACAAAATCATTAATAATAGTGATAATTTTAGAATAAAGTGCTTATCTTATAGTGAAATAAGTGCAGTTTTATGTGTTCTTTATTTTCTATTTTTATACTTTTTTATTTCATCTTGGAAAACATGTCCACTATAACGTAAGAAAATTTCGTTTAACTTGTTATATTATTTTCCCACGAGAATTTAGAATTAATTTTTACCTGATATTTAGCATACTATTCACCCATCTTCCTTCACAGATTGTAATCCCTCTTCTCTCATCTGCCAAATTACTCCCTCTCCTCTCATCTGCCAAATTACTCCCCCTCCAATCATTTGCTAAATTACTCCCTCTCCTGTCATCAGACAAATTACTCCCTCTCCTATCATCTAGTAGAGTACTCCCTCTTCTATCATCTAGCACTGTACTCCATCTCCGATTTTCTTCCGAATAATTACTTCCCCTCCTATCCCCCTGAAGTCTTTCATCGTATAATGTACTCCACCGTCTGTCATCGGACATTGTACTCCACCGTCTTTCACCCGACATGGTACTCCATCGTCGATCAGCTCTGGAACTACTCTCTATTCTTTCGTTACTCCAAGTGTTTTCTCGTCCTTCCTCCAACACAGTCCCACCATGTCTATCGTCTTGTGTTATGTGCCCAAGTCTATCCTCGGTTAAGTTACTTTCTCGTCTCTCGTCTGACATCATACTCGATCTTCTTTCGTCCCAGGACATACCAGAACTTCGTCTTCTAGATAATAATTTTAACTAAGCACAATCGTATCCATATTCCATAGTGTCTAAAGTATTCAATGTAGTTAATTGGATTAATAAACAACTTCCCTGTCCGTTTAATAATATAACTACTTCTTGTACCTGTCAAGACTGAAGCTGCCAGATTTTCTGTAGGAATCCACTGAGTACCGTCGCTCATAGTCGCTTTCTATATATTCATTTAATATTATAAATGGACTATGAACATACAGGGTGTCCCAGGAAACATGACAATAGCAAGACGACTTGAAAGTCGTCTTTGAAATTTGANCTTTTAATTTTTAAGGAGCATTTAAAAAATCTATAAAGACAGATAATAATGATAAATAAAACAAGTTGGATCAAAAAAATGATAATTGTAGTCTTGCAAGAAAAAACTGCTATTTACCGATTCCTGAACTTCTTCTTTCATAATCAGATATTGTACTGCTGCGACGCATATATCCATCCCCTCCTCCTATATAATAAGATATTGTACTGCTATGAGGCATATATCCATCCCCTCCTTTTATATAATAAGATATTGTACTGCTATGACGCATATATCCATCCCCTCCTCCTATACAATAAGATATTGTACTGCTATGAGGCATATATCCATCCCCTCCTTTTGTATAATAAGATATTGTACTGCTATGACGCATATATTCATCCCCTCCTTTTATATAATAAGATATTGTACTGCTATGACACATATATCCATCCCCTCATCCTATATAATAAGATATTGTACTGCTATGAGGCATATATCCATCCCCTCCTCCTATATAATAAGATATTGTACTGCTATGACGCATATATCCATCCCCTCCTCCTATATAATGAGATAATGTACTGCTGTGACGCATATATCCATCCCCCTCCTCCTATATAATAAGATATTGTACTGCTTTGGCGCATATATCCATCCCCTCCTCCTATATAGTAAGATATTGTACTGCTGCGACGCATATATCCATCCCCTCCTCCTATATAATGAGATATTGTACTGCTGTGACGCATATATCCATCCCTTCCTCCTATACAATGAGATATTGTACTGTGACGCATATATTTACATATTTTAACCAAAAAATCCAAATACAAGTTAAAAAGGAGAAATAAGAAGAAAAAAAAATACCAAAAGATTGATTTCCCAAACCAGGCTCTACACCGTACATCTTCCCGTCATAGCAGCCTTCATCAAGCTGAATATATAGTAATTAAAAATATTGAAGGTATTGGTTATTATTTCTAAAACTATAATTTTCTAATCCTTACATCTTTGCAATCTGAAAACTTGACACCACTGTCAACCAGGATACGAATATATAGTAATTAAAAATATTGAAGGTAGCGGTTATTATTAAAAATATTGAAGGTAGCGGTTATTATTTCTAAAACTATAATTTTCTAATCCTTACATCTTTGCAATCTGAAAACTAGACACCACTGTCAACCAGGATACGAATATATAGTAATTATTATTAAAAATATTGAAGGTAGCGGTTATTATTTCTAAAACTATAATTTTCTAATCCTTACATCTTTGCAATCTGAAAACTAGACACCACTGTCAACCAGGATACGAATATATAGTAATTAAAAATATCCAATTTGGCTACGCTCAATAATACGCGTCGAGGTTTAAAGAAATACTTTATTGACTAAATTTTAAACTTAATTTATCTTAATCGAAAACATATATCAAGGTGACGTGGCAGGAATAGAATGTTCATCTTGCCGCGTCCGAATATCCGGCTTCAGCCTCTTCATATTGAGTCGTCTTCCGCCACAAAGGTATTATTTCTAAAACTATAATTTTCTAATCCTTACATCTTTGCAATCTGAAAAACTTGACACCACTGTCAACCAGGATACGAATATATAGTAATAAAAAAATTAGAGTCGGCGGCAAGTGTTAAGTAAAAGTACCTTTTCTGAATATCTTGACGCAAAACTTACGCATGATATACAATGTACATGATGTATCAATAGGCAAGGGAATTAAGTGACCGAGTTCTTTTGTAAAGGATTTTTAATTTAAAAGCTTTAGTTGTCCCCCTTCTCTGTTCACCTTATACAACCTTCTAAAGTTTACATAAAAAATTTCCTGGGAGACTTAATTATTTTATGTCTTTCTTCAAAATTAGGTACAGTGATAACCAGAAACACAATGGAATAGGAAGACGACATTATTTCAATACTAAAGCGTATTTGATGTTGTTTCAAAACAAATAGTTTTAATGGACACTTCATAATTCACTAATTTAGTGAAACGGGTCTGTTTACAATGCACGTCTTCTGTGTCTAATGCTCATTGGACTTTTTAAAGTCATAACTTGATTATAAAGTCGTTTTCCTAATTCAGAGTTCTCCGGTTATCACTGCAATACAATGCTAATTCTTAACAGACGATCTAATATTCGTATTTAATATACCTGGGTATCCTCCTCAATATCTCTCATCCCTCCCCTCTCCTCTCCATCCTAGAATATTATTTAGGTCCAGTGTACTGTACGTACACTAAATAGTAAGATTAATCTAGGTTAAGATTGTACAGTGTACACTGTACATGACACCCAATTCACCCAAAAAAACACTGAGAATAATTTTGACACATAAAATCTGTCAAGAAAGGTGATTGTTTTCCCAACAAATAAAGCAAAATAATTAGTATTTTAGGCCATTAAATCTGCCACACAGCGAAGTATTAGATGAACCCTACAGAACCTTCACTGCGTTTTGACTCTGAGTATGTATATTTTAAACATGGTTCTAATACATAACATTTAAATATAAACGGTAAAATACGTAAAATTCTGGATCTTATTTCAAATAATTGATGATTCTTTAAATAGCTACACAATATTTCAAATACGTCAGATGACTTCCATGTTTCAGCTTTTATGGAGGTTTAGGAAAGAGAAAATGTCATTTGGCGATCAAGTCAAAATTCTTTCTATTAAAATGACTTCTTATGGAACAAAACGTAGAAATTAAGACAGTTTTTTTTGGATCGCCCTTTAATTACCCGAACAAGATTCCATTTAAAGATGTCTGGCCCCACCCCTCCTCCTTCATAATTCCTCGCTTCCCTAAAACATAGAAAACTATTGAAGAGGCAAAAGTTTAGACAACTAACGTGACTAGGATTTCAAAATCGATATTAAACAGAAATTAACACAACTTTTAAAAGTTAAAATTAATTCTTAAGACTGGATCAAACTTTGAATTTACAAACTAACTTATTATTTTTTTGCCCTAGACAAAAGATACATTTGGTAAAATTTTCACCGATATTCTGCGTAGAAACTTGCAAACTTTTGATCACTTTGTATAAAACTTCATTAAAAAAATTAATTCCTAGAACTATTCCAACTAAACTGTCAAAAATCAAAGAGTTACAAATTCCAAATAAAGGAATGTGTAGAATTAAAATCTTCTAAATAAGGGAATTAAAATGAAAAATACCAAATGAAGGAATAGAGAATTTCCCAATAAGGGAAATAAATCCAAATATCAAATAAGTAAATAAACAAATTTTGTATTTTAAAGGAAGTTGTACTGCAATTCAGAGTTAGGATGGACGAGTTTACATAGTTCACTAATTAAACCTCCCACGCTAATTCTTCTTGTAATTTCACCAGAACTTACAAAACAATGAACAAAAGGAATTTTGTGAATGAATGAAAAATATTATCTGAAATAAAAAGCAGGATCTAAGGATCATGAAAACGTGAATAGATAGAAGAAATAATGCAAGAAGCTTTATCAAAAAAGGTAAATATATATAAAAGATCAAAAGAATGCATTTATAAAACTTGAATGAAGGAAAATCAATGAAAATTACACTGAAACGAATCATTAAACTTGAGTAATGAATAGAAGATTTAAAGGAGGTCTAAAGACAGTCAGAATGAATGAATACCTGTTTGGATGAAAGAACTGTGGAGAAGGTCGTCTTTCTCCTAAACATTATATGACTTCATCAGGCTTGGAAACAACATATCATACGATATTCATTTGTGGTTTACTTAAAAAACAAACAGTAGTTTGCAGTACAAAACAAGTCCCATACTTTTACACGTTTTTTATACTGTATAGACTAAATAGAGAGAGGATTAGACCAGAACAAGATTATTTTAGTATCTATCAACATATTTAAGTCCAAGCAAAGTCCTCAAATACTTTTTCTTTTAAATTTAGTTTTCATTTTTCAACCAATAAATCTCTTGCATTGTAAATATATAATCGATTTTAATATATTGAGTGGTCGTGATTGAGCTCAAACTTAATTTGAATAAATAGTTTACAATTTATATTCGAGCGATTGGTCATTCATTGATATATAGATATATATTAGATATATATTTGACTAAATATTTTAATAAATAACAATTACAGGTACACAATTTATACATTTTAATTTAGCCAGGACCTCTATATCAATTTCTGTTTGAATGAAAAGGCCCTTTAGCAGCGATAAATACATGTTAGATTAATATAAAACCAAATGAAACAAAAACTATTCAGAACTAAAGAAATGCAACGTGAGGTGGAGTAGAATGAACAAGAGTAGATAGAGGGAAAGGTATTGAAGAATAGAGAGGAAAAGAAGAAGAAAGGAACGTGAGGTGGAGTAGAATGAATAGGAGTAGATAGAGGAAAAGGTATTGAAGAATAGAGAGGAAAGGAAGAAGAAATGATCGTAGGGGGGGGGGGGACAACCCAGCACACAAAGTTTTAATGCTGTATGTTTAATTATGTTAGGTTAAAATAATAGGGGAACGGAGATAAAATTTGTTTATTCGTTGATTAATTAATTGATTTTTATTTACCTGGATCTTGATTGTTCCAGAGGGAGGACATAGAAGATGCTGAACTCAAAACTGAAGAAAAATATTTATTTATTGGTTAAGTAAATGTACGTCGTCTTTCCCTTTAGAAAAATAAGTAATGTCGCCTTATCCTGCAGGGACATCATTCATACAAGGAAAGGAGGGAGGGAGGGGGAGAATTAGTGGCTTAAAATCGTGAAAATATTCCCTTGAAGGGCAGGAAACTGGACGGATAATAAGTAAAGAAAAAATTCATAGTGATTACTTCGACATTTTAAATAAAATCTGAAGTCAAAGACTATGACTGGTGTGGATGTTTGTTTACATTGCCCCCAGAGAGTACAGTAAACCATTTGCGTTCATAAGAATTGGCGTTCTGAGTGTAGTTCCTTGGTCGTACATTCCCTTTGTGACCAGCCACTGTAAAGAAAAATGCAAATTTTTTGCCCAAAGTAAAGAAATACAATTACTTGAATAATTCAAACGATATTTTATCTTGAATTGTTTCGGACCTTCCTTTCAAAACTTTATGATATTTCTGTCGTCTTCCCAATATATACCTGAGCTGTCTGAATTAATGCTGTATCTTCGTCCTGGGAGCTGTAGTGTTTCCATTCTATGAATAATAATAAATAATAATAATAAGTTTAACCTTTGTTGAGGAGTAATAAGAGAGTTGGAACGACCAACCCGTGGCTGTAAACCATAATTGAATAAAAATTATTCTTTTATTTCAATACAAAATTACAAAATTACAAAATTACAGAATTGGAAACCATTGGAATCCATCGAAAATAGATATACAAAGAGACCAGGATGCGCCAGATTGGACATGGCACTGGATTCGGATAGACTGGAGTCTTAATACTCAGATGTAGCATGAAGCAGTGGAAACAATTATAAATTTATGTTTTTAATAATTTCAAAATATACTCTTTATCCAAAAATGTGTGCCTTGGATTCATGAGAAACAGTTTGTGCAGATATATTTTGGAAATGCTGTAGATGATCTTCATGTACATGCTGTAGATGATCTTCATGTACAGACTCTGCAGAGATATCTGTTACCTGGCAGCAAATATAGGATTAAGAAGATAAAAAAGTATTACCCAATACCCTTATCACTGGCCAGATCCATATAGTTCAAATCACCTCCCCTCCCCTTTCCATCCATTAGAGTTGGGCATTGCATAGTTATTGTCCTCTGTTTTTTAAATAGGTATTTTAGGATTTTTGGCTTTTAGAAGGCTTCACAAACACTTACGAATTCTTACTGAATTTACAATTAATTTTATAACTTTATTCATAAGTATATATGCCTGAACGAAACAAAACCAATCATTAGTTTACGAACGATTTAAAAAATCGATCAGAGCTGAAAACTTTAGAATGTGATATCCTTAATCTCGATTACTTAACAGATTATCCAATGGACACACTTTTGATTTTCTTCTTAAACCGTTCTTTCTTGGATATAGTAGAGAAAAATCAAAAACCGGCGGGGTTTTCTATATTTGAGAGGTCCTCCCATTTCTGTATATAATCTTAAATGGCGCGCAAAATTTCAAGTTTATCGGCTTCATATACGCGACTCTGATTAATTGAATTTTATACACTCTTTAGGATACAAGTACAGGATTAGATTAGTCTCGATATTAAGAAAAAGAGAGGATCTCGCATTAATCACGATATCCACCATTCTAAAGTTTTCAGCTCGGGCTTACATTTTATGCCAGATTTAAGATTTTGCATAAAATAAGATGACAAATAAACTTTAGAGAATACAATTTTGAAGTATGTTAAACTTCTCAGGATTTTGTTGAGTCTCCTGAACTCCAAAAAATCCTAACTACGCCAATACAAATTTTTCCCACATAAAACGGCACAAAATTCTCCATATATTTTCTTGTGTGATCGTGAAATAAAACTTATCTTCTCGCAATTTAGTATTTTAGAATAATGTTTTTGACAATGTAAATTAATATTAAGCAGAATGAATGTCGTCTTCACTCATTCTTTTAGATTAGAAATGCCGCTAGGAATTGAAATTAAATTTCGTATTTTTCATATTTCTTCGCTGTATTTCTAATTAAAAGAAGTAGAGAAGACGACAATCATGTCGCTAAATATTATTGATCACTGTACCTGGTTGGGGAAATATTTCTCTTCTAAGGATTGCCATCTTCCAACCTCAAACCTCTAAAACAAAAAGTGAAATAAAAATTAATATAAAAAACATGATAAAGACTTCCATACATTTTCCCCCCATAAGTCCCAATAACCAGGGAAATTAAGCGACTACATGAACAACCTCGGAAAGTCAATGAATTCTGGAATTAATGCAGACATTTGTGAATTATGCTTTAAAAAAATACACAATAGATAGAAAAAAATGTTTGATTTTTTTAAGACACCCAAAGGAATTGAGTCTTTGCAACAAACTATGATTTTTAATTCGTATATCTTTGCAAACCTATGTCGTAAACCTTAGATATTTCAAACTATGAATTCTGATATATCAAGTAATCTAAGTTTGAAATATCACAGGCTTACAACATCAGGTTGCAAAGATATAGGGATTGGAAAATTTAAGTTTGTGACAAAGACTCATTTCCTTTTATTGAAATATTGTTTTCAGTGTGATAATGAGTAGGTTTGTAGGCTGGCGAAAGGTTTCCGAAAAAATCCTTTATTTCCTTTATTTGCTTACGTGTCCAGGTCTTGGTGTTTTCCAGTACTGTACATACTGTACATCATTAGTTTCCTTCTCATCGTAGGTTACTTTCACCTAAACAAAGGAACTACTGAATACAAATTTTACAAGATGTTGATTAAACTTCTATTTTAACAGGAGTTTTCCAATCAAAACTTGAGGCAAATTGGTCAAGAGGTTATGAGTTATGATTGAACATCCAAACAAACAAACAGAGATTACAACTTTATATATTGATGTTCACTATACAGGATGGCCCAATAATATTTTAAAATGACCCAAAAAGGTGCAGTATATAGGTTTAAATTCTGGAAATTTTAAGTTCGATGCGTAAAACTATGTTGAATGTTAGAAAATATCTCTGTTTACATTGAATAATTAATAATTTTTATTATTCTTTTCAAATCTATATTGCAGAATATGTTTAGAAATCATAATAGTTAATACATAATTGGATTATTATAATAATCAAAATTATTTCTTTAAGGGGTCCCAATTTAATGTCCTACATCAGACCTGGTCGAAACCATGGGGCGCGCAGGGATTACTGCAACCTCTCGTTCTAGGGTTTTCTTCAATAGATTTCTGTGGGTTTAGGACTGTATGTATACACCTAGGATTTTAGAAAGCCCAAAATAAAATCTAAGGGGGGTTATACATATTTAAAAAAATTTATATTTCCTGAAGAATATTGATTAGCTGAGTTAGCGGAAGTTGTTAAAGAGATTTTCGAATATTCTACTAAGTATTACATCCAATAATGTATAATAATGAATACCTGGACTGGGGTTGTATCTCGGCCATCTCTATTCATCTATAGTTCTCTTCACTATCTTCAACAAGTACACTTCAGTATAAAAAGAAAAGAAAATGCAAACACAGAACTTTTATCCGTTGAAACTCCAGAGATGTTTATTTATAGAGAGATGTAACAGCATCGCAAAGATATATTTAAAAAGGGGTTGAACAACAATATTCGAATACAAAATTAAAGAAATTAATTGAAGAATATTCCTGTCAAATAATTAGTGACTCATAGCATTCTTTTCTAACCACATTTTAAAAATAAAAAACTGAAATTTTAGAATCGATTAATTATAAATTTAACCTTGACAGCATATGTTCCTTTAAATGTTAAATTTAAAAATTAAAGGGATTGTTCGCGTGTATGTAATACAAAATACTATTGTATTTTACAAATCATGTAAAACTTATATAAAGAACATACCAGTTGTATCAGAATATTTTCAGTCATGTTCTAATCTCTGATAAATTTTTTTTTAAAAATCGTAAAATACTTTTATATTTAAGTACATAAAAAAGTAAGTTATCTTGAGATAGATTATTCTAAGCGGAAACGAATAGATTTTTGGCCATTTTAAAATAAAAGGGGATGGTGGAGTTGGCACATTTGATGTAGGGGGGGATCAAATGTGCCAACTCCACCATCCCCTTTAAATAAAAATTAAAGAAAATATCGCACCATTAGTTAAAAACTATACAATAAGGTACAGAATATTTATTTACACTGCACAGAATAAAATGATTTTCTTGTTTATTTTTCTTGAGAACAGACCTCTGAACACAACAATAAAAACTGATTCTAGGGATTTGTGTTGGACCAATGTTAAGCTTACTAAATATAGAAATTTAAAAGGAAAACATTTGTTTAGCTGGCTTTTTTATAGTTAAGCATTTTTTTCAACTGTAAAGAAGAATGGAAGGGTGGGGGGGGGAGAAAAAAAAATAAAAAATTCTGATTTAACAAAAAATAAAGTCTAGAATCCCCACGACCTTCTATTTACTACTTATCCTCCTTCTCAATACATCTTTTCCTTAGCATATGTACAGTGAGACCTATTAAACTGTGGAAAATAAAGGCGAATGTTAGAATTTGCATGGTCCAAGGAACATAAAATACAGTTACTGCAGATGAAACAGTCTCATTGCTTTATAATAGCATCAAATACTCACAAGATTGCTTAAATATCGTCTTCAATTCAACAGTTTTACTATATTAGTAAAATCCTTGGTATTCTTCTAATTCTTTTTATTCTTCCTATTCTTTCTATGTGTTTTTTTTCTAGTTTCTGTTCTCCTAGTGAAATAAAAATTAATATAAAAAACATGATAAAGACTTCCATACATTTTCCCCCCATAAGTCCCAATAACCATGGAAATTAAGCGACTACATGAACAACCTCGGAAAGTCAATGAATTCTGGAATTAATGCAGACATTTGTGAATTATGCTTTAAAAAAATACACAATAGCCCAGAAAGTGTCTTAACCTAACCTAACCCTAAATATATACTAAATTTGTTGAAAATTGTTGAAATTGAAGGTCTTTCCTGGCCGCAGCGCTCAGCCCACTAGCCTGTCCTAGCCCCAGCGCTGTTGAAATTATCCTAACCTAACCTAACCCTGAAATAATACAAAATAAATATTTTTGTTGTTGAAAATAGTTCAAATCTAGGTCATGTACAAAATTGATATGAGGGGGGAGGGCCCAAAAATCTTTCTCTAGGATAGACCCAATGAAAAAGTGAAAGAAGTATCATTAAAAACGGAAATTTGTTAAAAGGAGACTATTACCATTTTTTACATTTCAGGGTGGGGTGGGAACTTAGACAATAATTTTCCTCTTTATAAACGCCTCGATGAGTAATTAACTCATATCAATTAAGTGTGAGTTACTATAATATGTCCTTTAAGTTCGATCTATATTATATATATTAATTGACTGGTCTGGTCGACTTTTAAAGATGATTAAAGATGAAATAAAAACAGCTACCATCACGCTATGTCCTCCCTCTGAACTAATTGAATACCTCTAAATAATTCAAAAATTCTTTTGGGCCTTAAAAGCTGCATAATTAGTATACAGAATTTGTGCTCACGGATTTTCTCAAGTCATTTTTCCAAAATTTAAATATCCTATATTATTACTCACTGGTTACTATATTCACAATGTCTTAACATTAGATTTACATTTAAATTATTAAAATGACTGTTACTGTAAAGCTGTAACAGCTGGTTATACGAAGGTTAAGTTGAATAACTGTTAACTTAAGGACAGTGTTGTGTCTGCAGTATCCTCCGAGCTCCGGTGACGTCACACGATCAGCTGTTTAAAAGAAATAATATATTCTTCCGGATTTTCATAAAATATACTTCACACATTTTACTCACTAGAATTTTGGGGAATACTGAAAAAGAATTAAAATTCATTTTATGGAAAATATATTTATGTAAATACAGAACACATACCTATTTACCGTGACGTCATACGTAAGGAAACTTGCGGATTAATTGACACATATTGCAGATTTATGAATCTGCATGTCCGAGAATTATATTATTTAATTAGTATTTAAACGTGTGTTTATAACGATATCCTTTAAACTGTCAAAACTCCCGAATTCAGCTCCAAAAATTAATATGGCCAATCCATAGAATCGATGGTCGACCCGTCCTTCATTGACCAAGACCAGTTTTGGAGAGTACACTCAGTACACGTGTACATATTAAGGTGACTAATTGCCTATGACGCTGTCGTTTTGTCTTTACAGTCAGCACCCGCACGCAGTTAATAAGACTTTTTATTTGTTTGTCTAGCATAAGCTATTCAATTCGCAACTCTCGTTTATAGTTTATCATTTATAGACTTTAGTAAACCAGTGCAGTGAGTAAAATTTTAATCAGTGGACTGACAATGGTCGTCACTAAAATTGTATGAATTCTCAAACATAAAATTTTAAAAAGATAATTTTTCTATTTTTACAGGACGATTTTTGTAAATTGAAAATGAAGATTTTATACAAAGCTCCAGGGTCTGTCCTAGTATACAATTTTTATAGAAACATTATTATATATCTATACATATACTACAGGTAGTCTCAATATATTTAAATTATATAGAAACAGAAAAATTGTCAAGTTATGCTTTCTTTTCACGCTTCAAGAAAGCGAATTCTTTGAGTTTTTGGTGATATTTTTTTCAAAAATGTCAAAGAACAATGCTACTGAGATGTTTTCAAAATATTCAAAAGGAATTGAGCCTTTGCCACAAACTCAAATTTCCTAATCCCTATATCTTTGTAGCCTGATGGTGTAAACCTTTGATAGTTCAAACTTAGATGATTGAACTTACCGAATTTATAGTTTGAAATATCTAAGGTCTACGTTATTGGGTTAATAGCGTAAATAGCGTAAAGTCCAAATAAATTCACAGAGTTCCATTATTACCCTTTTAACTGTAATAACTAAATTTAAAATTAATTATTCTCTGATATTACAATCTATTAAGTTTTCGCGAACACTCTTTTATACGTACGTCACAATAAAATGCACACATGCAATGGAACGCCTTGCATACAATCACTTTGGGTCTCACCAAATAAAGTGGAGGATGGGGCCTGGGGGGGCATGCTAGTTATAAAAATGAATATACATTACAAGTAATAACCTGGTCTACTGTTGAGAATTGAGAAGATGTTGTTTACTTGAAATATTTCTCTTTACTCTTCTCTCTCTGTTGAATGTTTAGGTATATATCTAATCTAGGTTGAACCTCTAACTTCTCTTAATACTCTCACACTCTCAGGTAGAAATGGTAAATTTACTTCGTACATCTTTATATTAAAAAGTCTCAAGGTTTATAACTAGGATTGTTATTTTGACATGCAACTCAACTATTATTAATCTTATATGGGGAAAAGAACTGTAAGATCAGTTAATTATTGGGTTTGACTATATTCTTTTTTTGTATTATTATATTACCTCCTATATCAAGGATGGAAATGGATAATAAATAAAATTCCGTCTACCCCTCAAATAATATATATGTTCTAATCTTTCTCTAAAAAACAAACCAAGAAAAAGACAATCAAACAAACTGACAAACAGAGATTCCTACTTTTTATTAATAGGTACTGTAGAATACATGGATGATATATTAAAGGGCGGCTTAAAAAAAACTCTTATGCACGAGTTAGACAATTTCAGACAATTTCTTTGCATGTTTTAATTTATTTTCAATTACCTAAATTAAAGCAGTAATTTATTTGTTAAGACTTACAGAAAAAAAACGGGAGGGGGGAGAATATTAAAAAATCGAGTTATTTTTAAAGATAAAAACTCACAAAATTATCTCTTGTTAAACTTTCTTTCACTCTGACCTACAAAAGAAAATTCATTTTAAAACGTCATAAATTCTGAATATTCATCATCAGCTGATTTAAAAAAATCTTAAATAAAATCATTATTTTCAAAGAAACGGAAACCAATTGTTAATTAAAATTTTAACATAATAATAGCAAAGGATTTATACATACATTTTTGAAGTATGGATGTGTAAACTTCGGTTAAAATACTAAAACCTAATTCTTTAAAATGATTACTATAACTTACAAAATAAAAAACTTGAAACTTTAAGACTATAAAAACGGCTGGGTTGTCCAATAATTTATAAAATTTCTTTCATTGTATTTTTTGTTGTTGTTTATTTTCATGCTTTAACTGAATGAAGCATTATAAATTCAGAGATTAAGTACTTTTTTTAAATCTCTCATTTTCCAACAGTTGAGATTATATTGACAAATTTCTTCAACAAATTTTAGTTGATATTTTGTCACTTGGATCCGGATATTTTTGCGGATCTACTATGAAGATTCAAGGACAGTCTACAGTTGTTAAATCAAAAATTAAAGGCTGTTCTCTTCATGAAAAAATATAACTCACTCTAATGTTTCACAGAATTAATTGCAAAAATAACGTTTTTCTTCAAGGTTGCTTGTTTTAAGTAACAGACAACCCTGAATTTGAAATTATATAGCAACATTATTGCATATTTATACATTACTACAGGTAGTCTCAATATACTCAAATTATTTAGAAACATTATTATATCTCTTGCATATACTACAAGTCTACAGGTAGTCTAAACATATCCAAATTATATAGAAAAATTATTATATCAATACATATACTACAGGTAGTCTCTATATATATATTCAAATTATATAGAAACATTATTATATATCTTACATATACTGCAAGTCTACAGGTAGTCTAAATATATTCAAATTATAGAGAAACATTATTATATATCCATACATATACTACAGGTAGTCTCAATATATTTAAATTATATAAAAACATTATTATATATCTTACATATACTACAGGTAGTCTAAATATATTCAAATTAAAGAGAAACATTATTATATATCTATACATATACTACAGGTAGTCTCAATATATTCAAATTATATAGAAACATTATTATATATCTATACATATACTACAGGTAGTCTCAATATATTCAAATTATATAGAAAAATTATTATATATCCATACACATACTACAGGTAGTCTCAATATATCCAAATTATATAGAAACATTATTATATATCTATACATATACTACAGGTAGTCTCAATATATTTAAATTATAGAAAAACACTATTATATATATCTATACATATACAACAGGTAGTCTCAATATATCCAAATTATATAGAAATATTATTATATATCCATACATATACTAAAGGTAGTCTCAATATATTTAAATGAAAATTTAGAAACGATTGCTCTCGATTTTGGATTATTCATAAATGTCACAAATTTACGTCATGGGCTTCCAAAATGGGATCTCTATTATTTTTTAAAAATTAGGAAATTTGATATAAATATTGGACAATTTTTATTTCAATTAATTTAGAACATGAGCTGTAGAAAAATTCCTTAAAATTTCCGACGACTGAGGTAGAAATGTCAGACCACATCCCAATGCTAATAACTGAGGTAGAAATGTCAGACCACATCCCAATGCTAATAACAGTTTGTAATTATTTTTACTTGAACACTATGTTGAATGGAACTGTAAGCGTATTTTTAAGCAACCCTTCATGCAAAGATAGCATTGTCCGAAAAACATATGACCAATAATGTGGAAGATATTGTCCTAGGTTTAAACGAACTATTTCTGATAATTCATGTATGTTTTTCTCCAGTGAAAATTCGCAAGTCCTTTTAACGTGTCAACGAAAAAATGTCCATTTATTTTCTAAATTCTAAATTCTATACAATCTATTCAAAACATAAAGTTTTTCATGATTTTGTTATCAAAATTACTCATTTTATAGCTTGATTCTGATGATCTTTTACATTAAACGAGAGAATGAGTTCAATGAGAAGTTAATTTCCTAAAGGACTATTTTTGGACCCCCCCCCCCCCC